TGAGTAAAATTAATTTTTCCCTTTGTATGGAAAAATTAAATTGAATTTTTAGGCACTTTTTTAGGGCTCTTCTTTTCTTCTCTGTAAGAGCACTGATCTCTTGTTTTTTTTTATTGGCCGGTCTTGGCATTGTCACAGAGCTCATCTTCCTAATTTCTACAGGCATCATGAAGTTTGAGAAACTCTTTTCTTTTTTTTAGAAATGAAGCTCTCATCTTGCCAGTGGTGACCTGCTTGTTCCCGAATTAGCGTAGTGCTCTCCTGTGAATTGATCTTCTGGATCCTGCCCAGTTGTTCTTTAACTCCCAGGTCACTAGTCCACTATCTTCACACACTTCTCATGCTTCAGTCTGGCATCTGAGTAAGGGCCAGGCTATCCCTCCTCTGCACTACTTACAAACCGAACGTGCTAGGTATAGCAATGATTCTGCCACATTCCTGCAACTTTTCTTTGCTTTTGTTTTATAACTTGTATAATTACGCCATGACAAATATAAGAATTTCACAAGCAGGGATATCCAGAGTTTATATTTACAGGAATAGTTTTTCCTCAGCCTGGAAAGGCATAAATCAATAAATATATGACAATAAAGAAATCAATATGATCATTACAGCCATTATCTAAGGGTTATATACAAAAGAAATTAAAATATAATGCATGGACAGCACAGATGGATAATGAACGAGTGAAAGCTGGTTCCTTTCTAAGTCAGAATATCATGTTCTGGGTGGAATTATATATGATGGGTTTTATATATACTGTATGTTCATATGTGTCTGTATGAAAAAGTGCCCTTAATTATTTTGTATAAAAAAGCCCACATTTTCTGGATTAACCAGGACAGATTGCCCTGTATTTATGCTTGTGGGTTATTTTCCTAAACAAATAAAATATATTGTCTTCACAAACTTGTTTACAAAAAAATGGTTAGATGTTTAAATAGATTATTTTTAGGAATGTAGGGTTTTAGGGCAGGAAAAACAGACATTGCAATGCCCAAGCACAATCTTTCCATATGTCGGTTATCTCAGAGTGTCATTGCCTTCTGATTTAGTAGTGTATTTTGGAACATTAGTATTTAAATGAAGACACAAAATGCTAAATAAACATTTTGAAAAATGTTTGAACACAGAAGGGAACATTAAACCTGACAGAATATGAATCACAAGCAAGAAGGCTAGTTAGAAAACTGATACCCTTAAAAAGGGGATTTCAGTTTTGCATCTGGTAAAAAAAAAAACTTTCCTACAATATGCAAAGCGTAGTTCTTAAAGTGGGTTTAAACATTGTACAAATGGTGTAATACATCAAGCTATCCAGTAGATGGCCTTCCACGAATTTTTGATTGACTCCAGAGAGATGGAAAAAAAGTTACAAAAATAAGTCTTTAAACATGTTTTTCACTTATTGTTAAGATATTTTCATTGTAAGCCATTAAGTGGCATTTATTATTGTCTGTGGATTATTCTATTAAATAGTGTTTTAAATAATCCAAGTTTTCTACTCAGACTGGTTGCAAACGTGCAGGGCAAACAAACCAGTATGTCACAAATTTACAAACAAATTTCAAAGATTTTGAAAGGAAGTATTACTGTTAGGGAACTGATTGGTTCAGCTGCCTCACTGCTCTTAGGTTTTGGGCCAGGTCACTTCTTGCATGCAGTTTGCATATCGTTCCATTATATAAAAATACAAAAATAACACTGCAAGATACACTGACTGGTATTGCTAAATCGTTAACTTTTGCACAGGCACAAAAAGCAACCTGCACTGAATACTATACTGTATGCCAAATGTCACTGCCCTTACCAGTGAAGTTACAAGAATGCTATCCTACACATGAGCAAAACATGTATTCCCCTCTTTGTTGAGACTTCTCATAGATTTCCATTCTATTAATAATTATTCATACTCTGGGTGGCAGCATGGTACAGGGGGTAAGTCTATGGACTCATGGGTTTTGGGTTAAATGTCTTGTTGCTGCAGAGGTGCATTATCACTTGATGCACCTCAAGTGATAATCTTTACCCCGATTGCTCTTGTCCACACAGCTGTCGACTGGGGTCATATCAAGTGGGGGGGGGAGTCATTCGTTCTCAGTTGCACCTAACAGGATGAAACTCTGGAGAAGCTCTAGACTTAAGGATGGTTGTAGTTTAAATATTAAACTACCCAAGCATTTATGCTCTGCCAAACTAAAACTCTATATGGTGTGACAATAGACCTGAAACATGCCTTGGGCACTTTTATATTTGAGCATTTGGTTTCTAAAAAAGTCCATTTACATTTCTACACATGGTGTGCTTGTTAGTAGTTACTATCTTGATGTAGACATTCTCCAACTGCACAATCACACATTTCTATTCCCACATTTGCATGCATCTCCCATTAACATTCTTCGTGTGCAATTTATATTTTTATTTAAACATACTATATATCAAACAGAGAACAAAAAACAACAGTTTCCCCAACCCGTGAAATCCGCCCTCCAAGATTTCCAAACTGAAATCTTTTAGATGATTTTGTATTAATGGAAGTAAAGAGTAATTAAAACCTAACCACATCAACAGCAGCATGCCACGCCTCCAGCAGAACTATGAATCTCGTCAACAGATGCTCCATATAAACAATATTTAGAACTAAAGGCACCAGGAGAGGAAATGTGAAGATTCCTTATTTAGCATCAACAACTATATACAGTAGCTTATAGCTACAACTATATATATATAACCTATTACTTGTTCCTTTGCAACTATATAGCTGTGCGCATGACAAGCCAGTCAGCAGTTTTTCCCATTAGGCACTGTAGGCACAGTATCTAGAGCCTACAACATTTTTAGGGCCTATGAAGGAGGGAAACACTAGTGACTAACAAAAAATGAGCTGAAACAACATGCTAGCGATCAACTTTAGGTGCTGCAAATCAATAATAATACGCAATCTAGCAGCTTTTCTAGAAACAAGAAGCATCAAAGTAATGGTCCCTGGATTCGCTACTTCAATCATATGGTTTAGCATTAGAATAGTTTAAAGTGCATTTAATTGGCGTTTACCTCTCTTTTAGCACACTTCGAAGTGAAAGTGCCTAGGGACTACAAACACCCAAATCCGGCCCTGCCAGCTAGGTCAGTTTGTGGCTCTGTGAAAGTCTCAGTCACAAGATGAAAAGGCTACAAACAAGAGCCAGCCATTAGTTAAGTGATTCAAAAAGCTCATCCACTCAGTTCTTGAAAGAAGCTGTCAAAGAAAGAATAGTATAAGCCTTGTCAACATGGCTGGGTAACATGGGTAACATGCTCCAGACTCCCACAACGTTCGGGAAAGCTTGGAGTTAGTGTCCACCTGTGCTCCCTTGTTCATATTAAACTATTGTGTTCAAAAGTAGCCCACTAAATTGATTTTAACAATGCTTTTGAGGATTAAAAGTAGGATCAGGATACTTAAATCAGGTCCATTCACGATCAAGTCTAAAAGATGTAATTCTCTTATCATCTATTACAAAACTAATCTCGAATTAGGGAGACCCGAAGAAGGCTCCACAGCCAAAACATTGTTTTTCTTTCTTCTCTTGTCAGCATGGAAAATAACCTTTACTCGTTCCTTCGCAGCCTAAGCATGCTGAAGCAGCTACCTACTGTACGTGAACTAATCTAGAATTAGTTTTATAAGATTAGAACCTTATAATGTAGTGACCAGAATTGTTGACAATGTCTTAAAGGGACTTCACACAATTGCATTTTAACCTTCTATAAATTCCCTTTTTTTAACATAACTATATTTAAATACTGTATATTGAATTGTTATGATATATCCAATGTTCCAATGGCCCTTTTTCTTTCTTCCCCAAATTGAAAAAAAAAAACGAAACTTACTGTGTGTGTTATGAACATCTGTCGTTTCATAGATAACTGCAGTGTTTTCCCACATATTTTAGCATTTTGCTATCTGAATGTAACACTCTGCTCCTATCTTAATTAGATAGGAGTCCCAATTTCTCCGACCAGTTATTAAATCTCAGTAACAAAATACATTCATGGAAAACATAGAAAAAATTTCAAATTTTGAATTAAGCACAAAATTGAAAGTCGCCATATTGTCGCAAACCCCTGGTCTCGCCACGGGCGAGGTGGGATGTGATGAGTGCGTTCCTGCTTGCTAATGATGTAATGATTAATGTAATACGATGTACGAGCGAATGAGCACGGGTTGTGCAGCAGATATTTCACTGCAGAAAATTTCCCACGTGATCTGCAGGCGCAGTTAACAAGTTCTATTTATCGGCAAAACCTTTGAAGTTAAAAGCAGTATTTCTATTGGATTGAAAGAGATGTATCCACAAGCCTCGTTCTTTACAATGTAATAAGGCCACTTCATTCTGGGTAAATTTCACATCAATAAATCAAAATGGTCTAATACTACTCCCCCTTTTAGTTATTTTGAGATGGAGATGAAACACTATTTAAATTCTATAAAAAAATAGAGAAATAATAAAGCAAGGAAAACATGATATATGTAAAAAATACAATTTGATCACAATTTACTTCATTACCGCTGGCGGTTAAATGTTTTTTTTTGTGTTTTTTCTCTTGTACCTGTTTCTGATCCTTTGATTGTAGTTGTATTTGTAAATTCTAAATACGTTTAATATGAATAAAAAAAAAGAAAAGAAGGCCACTTACGTCACCGGAAGTTTTGATGTCTCTGAATCGCACAATATGGCGCTGTCCATACCTGGAAATGTTGTCTATTTTTTTATGTAAATTGGAGGCTTTATATGTTACTGTGTACATTTGACTTTTACTGTGGTTTGAAATGCACTCATTAATGCTGATTCTTTCTATCCCAGACAAATAACTATTGTGTTGAAGTTCCTATTTAAACATCTCCATGCCAGTTGCCTTGAATTTAATTCTTCTTGAATTTCATTGGCCGTCCCTACAGTGTGAACGAATCCTCCTGTTTGGTATAATCTGCATAGTTGCCTAGTTTAGTTTAACTAATCTTTTAATTTAGAAGGATCAATGGTTCCAGTACAGATCCCTGTGGAACTTCATTTATTCACTCATCCCACATTGAGCAATCATAGCTTATCAGTAAACTTTTTTCCCCCCATATCGCCTGCAATTTATATTTAATCATTTATAAGAAACTTGATTAAAACTTTTCTGGAAAAATACACCATATCATACATACCATATTTAACATTGATATATCAATATTAAATATACCAAATCATATGCTTTGCATCAATATTGTTGCTTATCTTGTTATTGTCTTCATAAGCTAACTTCACAAGTGTAACTGAAGTAAGACATATTTGTCTATAAGTACGTTTAGTTTAGTTCTCTGTTTATTAAATATGTACTACATTAGCAATTTTCCAATCTATGGGATTTTTCCAGTATGACACATACCTGAGCGGAATGTTAGTAGTTTGTTAACAGTCTATGAATATCACCTCTCGTGTCCTTAAGTATAATGTACAGGACACAATCATGCCCAGGAGATTTCTCCCTTATGTGTTAAAATGTATCCTATACGTTTAACAACATCACCTCTTCTTCGCTTTGTCCTCGCTGATCCTGAAGCATGTTGCCACACTACCTTGTTAAACGCCTGAGTAAAACATTCATTTAATATCCTGAGCTTCAAAAGAAACGTATCACTTTATGTATACGTGCATGTTTTAGGGAGAAAAAAAAACAAGTTTACTGTTTGTATTGCTGTTCCGGCTTTTACTGCATCCCTTAAGCTCACGTGTAATTCAAAGACATGCATACGTCTTGGTTGGTCACTGGATGTACAATTTTCAACCTGAAGTGAATGTTTTTTTTAAGCCGGACGTACCTTCAAATCAGGCATACGTCTTGTTTGTGCACTCCAGCAGGATTCTGGGCGAAATAAATCCGTCCTGGAGAGGGACGACGAAGACTGGGGTCTCCTTTACCGACAGCCCTTTTACGACTTGGGTTTTGTAGTTCACTGACCCTAAACACTTTTTGGTATGTCATATTGACACAGACCTGCCATGACTACAACACCCAGCATTCATTAGCTCACCCGTCTGCCATAATACATCCAGCCGCTTAAAAAACGAGCGAGTTTCAATCGCGTATTTGGATAGGGCTGCAGACATACTGTACCAAGTTGCTAGCGGGGCTGTTTGTGGATTAGGGCTCTAGTGCAAGAAAATGATATGATCTGATTAAACGTGTTAGGGTTGTGGCAACATTTGGTATACTAACGACCGGTCAAAACGAATGACTTGTGGCTTTTGAGACTTCATTTTGTTGTTTTTTTTTCAGCGTGTGCATTTATATGTACCAAGAAAACGTATCATTCTGCGAAGTTACCGGTTTCTTTTAAATATTTGCCGTTTGAAAAGTGGTACAGACGTTTTGGATTAATTTTCCAACCAAATAACAAAATGCATCGTTTTCAGGTCATGGCAAAAAGGTCTTTGATCGCAGGTGTTTTCGACCACTGCTCGTGTATTGTACGAATGAATGCTGTGAAAACACCTTGCAGTATACAGCCCTTGAAACACAAAAGACACGTTACTGAGCTGCAAGGAGTTAGGAGGCTGAGCACGGCGGAGGCATCTGTAGCAGCCAGAGAAAATGGCAAAATTCGCGAGAAAACATTGACGATGGAGACTATGAACCCTCAGATAAAGACAGTGGAATATGCGGTGAGGGGACCTATTGTCATCAAAGCTGGGGAAATTGAAAGAGAGCTACAAGAGGTAAGTGGATTGTGCTTTCTGTAGTATATCCAACGTAACTGTTGCACTCATTGTGTGGTTGGAAATAAACAATATTATAGCTACGTTAAATATATAGTTGTGCGCCGTGATGATTTAAAGGCTAATGAATTAAACGTTAAAATAAATTAAACTTAAATGACGTTTAGTAGTCACTGGTCTATGAATTAAAATAACTAAGGTGTGGTTTATCGTAACGCCGTTAAGTGAGACGGAAATGAAACTTTTATTTAATTATTTTCCTTAAGAGTGTATTTACCGGTATGTGGTTGCATCATCTCAGTGCCGAGACGACACACCCACCGCTCTGATTGGTGCAGTCGAAGGAGGTGTCTCCTCTGAAGCTGCCCACTGCCCTGTTTGGTGTTGATGACAGGCCGAATTTGACCGATTAATAAAGGCGCCCATAATCATGGATCGCCTTGTGAAGTCTAAATCTACCAAAACTACCTTCAGCGTGGCCCAGTTCTGGCACCTGCCAAGGCCCGCTTCGCTTAAAATACCGAAGCCTTTTCATCTTCAGATTGGACTGTACGTAAGCCGCTGGCAAGCGATGGTTCTGACCGTGGTGCCAAAAGGTTTCTGAAGTAATCCGATTTTGCTAATAAAAGCACGCAGTGTGCTTTTCATATCCATCCCCCAATATTGAGTAATAGATGCTTATAAACAGGCACGCGGTTTAGGTAGCGGAATAAGACAATATTAGTTTTAATGAAATATTCCGCTAGCATTTGCCACAAGGCAGTTTTATTGATTTGAAGGACGAAGAACCGCCTTTCATATTCATTACATTTTTATGGTCTACAACATGTAACACAACCGCAGGAGAACCTGCTTAATGAGGTGCTAGCTAACGAGCTAGAAGAGACTGATTACCGTCTTCTTGTGTGTGACCTTTCATATCTCCTAATTAGGCTTATTGAACAGTGAAATAGAAGGAAAAAGGCTTTCGATGAGCCTCTTTCATTAATTTGCTAGTTATGCGTGATTAAATAGTTTAGCACTCTAGTGAACAAGACACAATGTCTCTGTCATTCACCTAAACTGAAAAGCGTGAAGCGAGTGTATTTTGGAAGGGAATGTATTTGAAGACGATTGTGCTGACTTGATCCAGCGAGATGTCAAGTTTGGATTAGCCTGCGGTGGAATTTACCCGGGAAGATACCCAAGCTCTCTGAAATATGCTCTTGTCCTCACGTCACTACTTTAATATCGAGGGGAAAAAAACATTTCCCTCCCCTTGAGTCTGATTTTTTACACATATGGGGTTCAATAGAATTGATTTGGGCATGGTTAGAGAACAAGGAACTGTATTTCCTAATCATCGATTTTGATATATGAAGCAGTTTTGTTTTGTAGTGTATTACCTTACTATGGTGTAATGTTGACCAGTAACAGTAAACCAAGATGGCCTTGATTGGGTTTTCTTCATTCATTTATGATTTGTGCTAGTATCCTAATGCACTTTTCTTGAGTATGCTAACAAAGCCTGGATCCCATAAAATGGCACCAAAATATAACATTCATATAACAAAGTAACAAGTCATAAGTTTATTCCATGCTGAAAATAGAAGAAAGAAAACACAACGTTCTTCAGGTGTCAGCCTTCTTTAGCCTACCTGAACTATATAACAAAGTATACTTTTTCTACCATTAAAATTAGTTGAGTTAGCTTTAATACTGTACTTCTCAGTGAATGCTTTTGTATATGAGCATGTAAACCTATATCATATCAGTTTTTACTTTTTCATAATAGATTTTGTAAACCCTGACATTGATTGTGACATGTACATCTAGCTTGTGATCCGTAAGATGTTTTTCCTTTCCTTCCACAAGGATGAATTACTTTAACATGCATTTTGTAAAATAACATTTTCATTCTAAAAAGAAAATATGAAGTGGTCTAGTACAGCTCATGCCAAATGAGGCAGTTAGCATTTCAAAGGGGAAGCTAAAAATAATTTAACATTTGAGTTCCCTGCTTGGCAGGATCCTGGTTAACCTAGGATTTAAATTTTGCACTGAAGAAGCTGAGCAGAGCAGCAAGGGTTTAAATATCTGATCCTTGTAAAACCTTTTTCAAATGAGAAATTCTCTTACAGGGTGTGAAGAAGCCTTTTACAGAAGTAATCAAAGCTAATATTGGTGATGCCCATGCCATGGGACAGAAACCTATAACATTCCTACGCCAGGTAAGAATTATATGTAGTCTCTGAAGCATGTAGATTTTAAAGAAAACTTCTATTTATCAAGGGTACTTCTCACAGAGTTTACAAAAGTCTAAGATGCACAGTAACCCTATCAAAAGCAGTCACAAGCCAATCCAGCACTAATCATTTGTACCCATTCAGCAGCTCTCTTCAGCATGTAGTGATGTAGTCCCTTTCTGGAATTAATTGGCTATTTTTAGCAGATGTTCCATCTTCATATGTATTAATGACTTGGATTATTTTTCATTCTGGCTTGTGTTGTTAGATTAAAAAATACTGACACAAACAAAACAGGATATTGGGTGGAAAGAAAGAGTGCAGCAAAGATCAAATGAAAATGTTTTTAGCCAGTGAATATTGAGTGTGTCATGTCCGAGAACTAGGTTTTGACGGTACAAAAATTCAGTGTATTTTTTCTGTTTTGCTTTGAAAAAAGTTTCAAAATTGTCCCTGACTTTAATAAACCTAGCCTTTTTTAGTCAAGATACTTCTATTTCTAAAGGCATCCCCTATAATATGAAATTGCAACTTGAGCCTTTGTCTTTTGCCTTTAAACATAATTAGTTATACATTTCATTCACTGTGCTGAAATTCCAGATTTGGAGGAAAGCCATTTTTTTAAAGCCTCTTTTCAAATTCTGCCCGTCGGCATAAAGCTACGGAATAAGACTATTGGATGAAATTTCCAGGATGAAATGAGAGATCCCTGGGATGGGTCTGCTCATTGTGAGGGGATGTGTGATTGTTTAATTCTTGCCATTGAATGATGGGAATGTCAGGTTACCATGGAGTTTCCAACACAATGATGTCCTGTGCTTTAGCAGTAGAACAAAAGCCTCATGTAATGTACTGTATTCAGGTCAGCCTCAGAATGGGGTTCTTTATAAATAGCTTCCAGAGAATATCACAATGAAGTAACCTGGAACTTGGAAGTGCAGTGAAATAAATATTGTTCCAGTTAAGGCAGTCATATTATGATGATATTCATACAGATGTTAGTAATGTACACCGTATTATGTTTCTGATCTTTCTGAAGATATTTTGCTTCAGTGTCTGGTCTCTTCTTTCTGTCCTTTAGCAGTAGGCAAACAGCAATGGTGCTGTTGTGTTGTTGCAAAGAGCACAAAGCATTAATTTAATGCTGCAGTAGGTGTTCCTGCTGCCTCACCACAGAGCAGAGCCTTGATTTCAGTCCAGGCTCCCTCCCCCAGCACTCCCCTGCCAGCTCCCAACTCGGGGCTAATACAGAACACCAGTAAGAATATCCAGGGCTGTTTTGTTGTGAGTGAAAAGCTTTTAAAATAGCTATATTGTCTTTTTTTGTACATCATTTTACCCTAGTCTTTTCATTTACTTCTAATGGAAATACCTTTTTTATTACAGATGGTATCCTTTTGAGAAGTTAGCCTAATAAAAGGCTTTCATGAGTGCTTCAAAGAATCATACAGGCAGCTAGCCATCTAAAATTAGATGGGCAGCACAGTATAATTATTCTTTCTGTTTCAGAGGATAACGGTACTTGAATGATGCAATGTCCCTTATTTCTGTTCAGGTCGTTGCTCTGTGCACATGCCCAGAGCTGCTAGACAGCCCTGCTTTCCCAGAAGATGCCAAGAAAAGAGCTCGTCGCATTCTCCAGAGCTGCGGGGGAAACAGCTTAGGTGTTTGTTCATGTCTTATCCATTTCTAGAGCTGTAAATTAATACACACCCAAAACAGTTTTGTTGCCGATATCTAAACAAGTTCTGGATTAAGTAAAACCATGTCTTCTTGCTTTTGAGTTACCCCCATTCTCCCCTGTTTTGCACGTGTTTATGGAGAAGCTAGAATTCTCAGGAAGATGAGAGGTTTTGCAAGTAACTGCAAAAAGTCCACTTATGTATCATGAGAAAAAGTAACAGAATACCTTTAGATAACATACATTAGAAGTAGTTTTTGGTTTTGTAAGATTGAGGTTTGTTTCCCAGAGATGTGTAGTGCTGAGAGAACATTTTTTTTAATAGATGGTTTGTTTCAGGGTCATACAGTGCAAGTCAGGGTCTAGACTGTATCCGAGAGAATATTGCACTGTATATGGAGCAGAGAGACCGAGGTGTTCCCGCCAACCCTGACAATATTTACCTCACCACTGGCGCCAGTGATGGCATTGTGGTAGGTCTTTTTCATTGTTGTGTGAGTCGCCTTTATAATGAAGTGTTCCAATATGAAAGGGTGATTTATAGTGTGTAATGCAATAACGTTAAGCTACATTGATCTAATGTTAGGCTCTTACATTGATCATGTGCTTGATTATTAGTTGAATTATTTAGTAGCCAGTAAGTCTGGAAAGATTTGAGAAAAAACATACAATTATCACATGCAATATGACATTTAAATACTATTTGCATTGTTTCCTTTCTATATTAAATATAATTTCACTTATAGTTTTAATTACACTTCTGTTTTTCTTCCTATTACTGTATGTATCTGGAACAAACAGTCTTTTTATACATGCAGGCCGGCTTTAAATACACACTTTGAAATATTTAAATATCCAAAATCCGGTGGTAATTTATTGTTATGGGTTTTTCTCGGGCTTTGTATGAAAAATCCTAGTTCTAAAGTTGTATTGGTCAGGGAATGTTTCTAATGTGTTCAAAGGAGATAAAAGCTATACATAATGTGTAACGTTTTGTGTTTAAATAACCGAACTGCAGCCTCTTATATGTTCTTTACTTTTTTGGATTTATTGTAGAGCATTTTGAAGCTGTTGGTTGCCGGAGAAGGGCTCTCTCGCACTGGGGTGATGATTCCAATTCCACAGTATCCTCTTTACTCCGCCGCCATTTCTGAGCTGGGGGCAGTGCAAGTGAACTATTACCTGGATGAAGAGCACTGCTGGGCCCTGGATGTGAATGAGCTTCACAAAGCTTTAAGCGCGGCTAGAAAGTATTGCAATCCTAAAGTGCTTTGCATTATAAATCCAGGAAACCCGACAGGTGTGTGCTTTTAATTGCTTTAAACGAGGTCTTCCTCTCCCGCTTTATCAGTGACTGAGAGTGATAGAATGCCTTCATTTTTTTTTGGCCATCTTTGAAAATGGTCATAATGAGTATTCGGTATGAAATTCCAGAGGGAGTGGCGTCTCCTAGTTTCGTGTTCCCACCTGGCTAGTTAATGGAACAGTTCTTAGACATAAACAGGACTTTTTTTAAGATCTTTTATAGCCGATTTCTCAAAGCATTCATTTTATTCAGGATACTGTACAGTTGTCTACAAAAACACCTTGAAGCCTGATTAGAAGTATGATAATTCCACACTTCCCTAAAATAATTAGGTCATTGTATGTAATTGAGCTCAGGTGCAACAAAAAACAGAAGATACCAGGCTCTTCAGGGTGAATGTTTAATGTGTAATGTTGTCCATTTATACCTTTGTAAAACTGTGTATTTTTCACTTCACTTCTTTCTCCTTGCTTACTGCATTTTGTTCCCATCGGCAGTACTTTTCTGATTAATATAACCTATTGTTCTGTTGATTTTTCTAGGTCAAGTTCAAAGCAAGAAGTGCATTGAGGACGTTATTCATTTTGCTTACGAGGAGAAACTTTTCATACTGTCAGATGAGGTAACTGACCATCACATTAGAATGATCTAGTAAATACAAGAATAGTGTGTGTACAGGGTCCAGTCTAATCTTTCTCTTATAGTTGAAGCCAAGGCATTTCAAATGAGGATAAAAACATAAAGACCCCAGTCACAGAAGGAATGTGGTCACATGACATGCTTCTGTCATGTCTCCACATGAAATTCAAGAGTCCTAATACTAACAGGTGCTGTTAGATTTCAAAAGGGACACATGCTTCAGCCGTCTTTATTTTTACAGATATTTAAAAATTCCTTTCATGCTTGAATTGACAGGTTTATCAGGACAATATCTATTCTCCAGAGTGCCAGTTCCATTCCTTTAAGAAGGTCCTGTATGAGATGGGGCCAGAATACTTCAACACAGTTGAATTGGCTTCTTTCCACTCCACCTCAAAAGGTTATATGGGCGAGTGAGTATTTGCATTCCTACTCTTTCCTTGTGTCAGCATTTCCTATGTAAACAAGCAGAGATTCTGTACTCATGACATTTAAAAGGGATCATGTTTCATGCACAACATCTGCAGAAAACCACAGCTTTCCTAAATCTAGGTGATGCTGGGGCCAAAGACTTGACAACCACAAAATGACCACATCGGTTTGTTTTTAACAGTCGCGTTCTTTCTCCCTGTTTCCCAGGTGTGGCTTCAGGGGAGGTTACATGGAGGTGATTAATCTGGACCCTGAGGTGAAAGCCCAGATGGTCAAACTGCTTTCAGTCCGCCTCTGTCCTCCAGTGTCTGGCCAGGCAGCCATGGACGTCATCGTTAACCCCCCACGACCTGGTGAACCTTCGTTTGAGCAGTTTATCCAGGTCAGCCTTGAAAGCATCATATTCTTTTGGGGGCTGCAGAGAGAAGCAGAATTGCGTTGAATGGCGATTATTGTGACAACACTGAGTTCTGATTCAAAACGTTTCGAGCAGCAACAAAACATTTCAACTAAATACTTCAATGTACCAAATATAGCAGTCATCTGTCTTAAATTTTATCTGTCTTAAAATTCTGACTCGTATTTCTTTTAATAATAACCACAGCTGTAACCGTGACAAGTGATGCACAGCTAAAATTTATGTGGGTGATTTGCTTTTGATTGTTCAGGAGAAAAACGCAGTGCTGAATACTCTTGCTGAGAAGGCAAAGTTGACGGAGAAGATCCTGAACACACTTCCTGGGATCAAGTGTAACCCTCTGCAGGGAGCCATGTATGCTTTTCCCAGGATCTTCATTCCTCCCAGAGCAGTGGAAGAGGCCAAGGTTTGCTGTGCCTTCTAAATCTCCCCTTTGCACATGACAGAAAAATTCACTTCAGCAGTCTGAAAAATGAGTCAAAGGAAAGGGAGTAAGATCAGTGTAATCTTGGCTGCCGCGCCATGTTTTTGATGCATTATCCCTCAAAGTGAATGCTGCAGTGTTTTTGTGTCGAGTGTATAGCTTCTAAATCTGTTCTGGTTTAGAATTTTGAAGAATGCTGAAGTGTTTGGATGTTATTAATGCAATGCCAATTAAATCCCACTGTGTCTTGCAGGCATTAGGTATGCCCCCAGACATGCTGTACTGTCTAAAGCTACTTGAGGAGACTGGTATATGTATTGTGCCTGGCAGTGGCTTTGGACAAAAGGAAGGAACCTACCATTTCAGGTAATTGTGTAGGTGATTGAGGCTTGTCCTCACAATATAACTGGCTTTTTGTTCACTATGTACAATAAGTATTATTCATTCTGTTAAAATATAAACAGATATTGTAAATATTTGTTTCCACATCTCAGTGTTTTTAAAAGATTTCCATTGCTTAAAAGAAGAAAACATTCAAAGTGTTTTATATTATGGTATGAGTACTCAAACATTCAGAATTTAATGCAGCTTCAGAACTTATGCTTTGCGTTTCATTTCTCCCCAGAATGACAATCTTGCCACCAACTGAAAAGCTTAAATTGCTACTTGAGAAAGTCCGAGATTTCCACATAAAATTTCTACAGGAGTATTCGACCCTGGACAGCACTCCAAGATGAACTGTCACAGGAGAAGAGAGCTGCTTTAGTATTAATTATCTGAATAGTCCAAGTCTGAGAACACTAAGACTACTAACAATAGAAAAACATTTTAATAGACTCCATGTTAAACGTTTTTTCCCTTACGCTCCAAAGAATGCCTGACATACTGTAATATTGAAGGACATCTGTGCCTTGGTCAGACATTGGAGTGTGCTGTAAGTGGATGATAAGGTAAGTGGATTTAAGGAAAAGCATACATTTAATAGTTAGTATTTGGACAATTCGAACACTACATTTTAACTCTTATCACCTGCGCTTGATTGAGCTGTAGGTTAAAACATCTAAGGAAAATTACACAAATAATTTCTCTAACTTGGTTCCACATTTTTAATCACTCTGAAAATATTTTTTAATCTGTTATCTGTTAATTTGTTTGTTGCACTGCCTCAGACTCCTAAAATATGAATCAACGTTTACCAAACGAAGTACTGTCAGTAGTTTTTATTTTATTTTACTGGATCTATTTATAAAAATATTTTTATAGAGTTTAAAAAGTGCTGTACCTCTCAGAATGGTGCCAAATCCTTTTCTAAAACCTTACAATGTACAGTACATTCTGATACAGCGAGCATCAGCTACAACTTTTAAATAAATTGAACAAATATTGAATGTTAATGAAAACTTACAGTCTTAAAATATAAACGATAATCTTTACCGGAATAGTCATTTATATTTTAATATTTGTTTACGATATTTGAATCGCTTCTTTTTTTAGCATGCCTATTAAAAGTGCTTTATATGAAATTCTTGAGGCATGTAAAACTTCTTTACTGCATACCAAGATATCCAAAGTTTTCAGCTACGATCCAATTTATTCTTTCAGGAAGTCAGATGTGTTATAAAGGATAGGTATGACTACAGAAATGTGTACATATACAGAGAGGCATTAAAACGCAAATAAGTACTGGAAACAACAGAATTTGTTGAGTTTTAGTAGTTTTTGGTTTACAAAACTGCTGAAAAATTCTGAGTGTGAACGATTGCCCCTCAATTTATAATTGTTTTTTTTTTCTGTTTTGCATGCATGACATAAATACACTAACTGTGAAAGGTTTTTCAGGGGACTATAGTCCTTTTTAATGTTTATGACTGGAAAAAGCTTGCAAATGGATGCAAAAATGCATTTGCAAATTTGTACTTGATTTCAAACGTGTACATAAAAATTCTGCACGTGGAAAAGGATATAAAAAGTCTTCTGTAACAGTATGTTTGTCTATTCCTGTTAATACGTTCTTTAAAAGCAGTCTTCCCAACCACAAAGCCCCATTCTCCCTAGTTACTAATGCTGCAGACAGCATAATTAAAAGGTACATTCTTTTAAATATAGGTTTAATGTAATGAAATGCTTGCACAGTCATGACTGCACACCTGGATATGAGAAGAAATGGTTTCAAATCCAAATATCTCACCTTTAGGATGTGAACAGATAAGGCAATTGTAAAGTACTCTTCACTCTGTTCTCACACACCATTTTTATAAAAAGAATGCTGGTCAGGACATAGTGGGAGGATACAATTTCCTGAACTGCTTATTGTAAATTTATAGAGCAATGTTTACAAGAACTAATAAGCTAAGATGTGCTTCAAATTGACCTGGTTTTCAAATTGACTCAAAGGTTTTCAAAGAACCAATTGTGTTTTATCCTGGTTTTCTACATAAAACATTGTACAGTCATACAATGTTTTATGGACCTGACACAAATGAAAGGCAATTCAATGCAAAGAAATCGGGATTTGCTACAATGATTGCCCCGTTCCATTCAATGTCAGGAATTCTGTATTTCTTCCTGTTATTCAGTGTATTCTGAAAAACTAAGGTGCCTTTATGTTCAGTGTAGAAGCATTATATTGATTGGTTGAGACATAGAGCATTAATTTTGGTTCTTTTAATTCACATCAATTGTTACTGCAAAGGCTACAGATAGTTACTCTAGTATAAAAGTAATATTTTTACAACTTTATCTGTAAACCACTCACTACTTTTCTACATTGTCGCAGTTTGTTATGGAGGAGTGGCAGTCTGAGGTTGTGTTCTTGAACAGGAAAATTAAAAGTAAAACTTATCACAGATCAGAAAATGGACAACATTAGATATTTGGATAACTGTGGATTAAATTGAACAAAAACCTACAGAAAAAACGATGAATAAAAACTTAATTTCCTAGGGCTTAGAAAAATCAGCAGGCAAATGTCTTAGATTAGTATGCCCTGATACTATTTCCTTGTTCATGGGTTGCTTTTTTAGATTGACTGTTATACTGCTGGAGAAGCTTAACCTTGCTTTCTGTTTATGTATTTGTCTGTACATGTTTAGATAATTGTATCTTAAAATTATTTTTTTTTTACTTAATATTTGTAATGGGGTTTTTGCATTGCTTCTATCAGTTGTTTTGTAAAATAAAGTTTTTGCTGATCATTTGCTTTCTAAATCATTCTGAAATGTTGTTCTTTTTTCCTTTGAACTCTGTTTACTCCTCGGACTGTTGAGTAAAAACAATGAAGATTTATTAAACAAAACTGTTGTCCATTTTTTGTGTTGTGACTCATTCAGTATAAGCTCCCATAGGAAAAAGCCTCTCTACTCCTGGCTGGAGACACTTGGTATTGAACACACCTGGTGTAACCCTGGCATCTCCGTTCCATGCCATACTGGACATTGACCCTTCCAATGATTTTAATGATTGACTGTAATTTCTTAATTTATCCAGATCTGAAGATCACTTAGATAATTAAGGAGTAGCTGGAGTAAACCCTCTTTCTCACTACACAGATGACTGAATCAGCTGTCTTATTGAATTGATATTGTACATAAAACCTACCTCCTAAATTGATTGATACCATTTTCTTTAATTTCCTCCCATTTCTTCATTTAGTGCCACTTAATACCATAAATAGCTCTCTCCTCTTGGTTTTACTTCTGAGGCTGTGTTGTTTTATATGGCATTTCACAAGGTTCAGTACTGGGCTTTCAGCTATTCAGCGTTTGTTTCCCCTTAGTCGAATATTAAAATATTTAAAATATAAAATATAAAAAATATTTAAATTACTTCATTCATGTGTCAGTATTTTCAAATTGTATTGAATAATTTTCATTATAAGAAGACAATTTGTTGCACATATTAATTAAAACCGACACTGTAACTGTCAATTGACACAGTTCCTGAATTTGAGTTCAAAATGAAGATTTTGGGGATGATCTTCAGTTCTGTATTAATGTTTGATGCTCATTTGCAGAATATTGCCACACTACATGCCATGTTGTGACTGTAGTGGAACACTGATCTATGCCTTTGCTTTTTCAGGACTGATTATGGTAATGCCTTAGTCTCAGGAATCTCTAAAATTCCACATAAATTACAGTATCTTCAGAATTCAGCAGCTGGGATCCTGACAATGTCACACACAGATGTTAATGTACTTGATAACATCAGCATCTGGCTGTTGTGCTATCTGTGTACTCAAACTGAATGTGACCTTCACACTGCTGATTCTGCTTTACAGTATGTTCCCACTCCTAGGAAACGTAGGAGGCAAGTCTTTTTGTTGATGTACCCCAACAGAGCACCATCCCAAAAGATACAGTATCAGGCTGTAAGTGCATTATGTGCTCAAGTCTAACCGGAAAAGGTTTATTTTTCAAAAAGGTTGCATACAACTGTTTTGTCATTTATGTCTGCTTTTTCTTGGCATTGCATTTCGAGGTATTGTAAAAAACGTTTTGTTGCTTTTAAAGGTGATGTACAGAAAATAGCATTATTATTATTTTTTCACTACTTTACTAGTTGTGTTTCTTTTTATTCTGCGCAGTATTGGATCTGTTACAGAGATTACTGGGAGATTGTGCTTACTTTTCTGTTGTTCCAGGAGTGTGGAATGATCTCCCAGCTCAGGTTAGTAGTATATTCTGTCCAATTTACCGCTTTGTATCGCAAAGACATTCGATGTGAGATATCAGAAAACGAGTTATACAGTGTTTCTGGCAGCAGGATTTTCAAGATATATTTTGAAGAAATTGGTCAGAACTACTGTTTTTTTTTGTTCTCATTTTCCCACCCAATCAAGGCAAAACACTTTTTGTTAATATTAAATGTTTTTTTAATCGAATTCCTAATTACGTAGGACACTTTATGTTGCATGTTCTGTTTGGTTAAGCCTTTACGAAATGCAGTACCTTGACCCCCTCTTCTGGGAAAAAAATGAAAATGCTTTACTATATCAAATAATTAGCTAGCAATATATTTCACTTAACGTCACTACTTGAATTCCTGCAGTAAAATATATTGATTGGTTCTGCTTCCTAGACGTTACTTAGCCAAAGGCAAAATCATACCCACTCACGCCCGTAATCATCGACTCAAATCAAAACAATTGACAAAGCGAGTTTGACCATTAACGATTTCACGTGTAGCCTACCGGTTTAAGGTATAAGATAGGACAATGTTGTAAGGAGAACTTAGAGGTATACTAAATTATTGAGAGACGAAGTTATGGCCCCTAGGAAATGGAAAAAAAACTTTTCAGCAGCTGAAGTTGAAGGCGTTAGCCAATTGAACAACGAGCAAAGGGAACAGAAAACTAAACTATTCATGCAGCAATTCCAGAAAGAAGGTAGGAGCACGGAATTGCGCTGTCGTTCTTTACAAAGTTTCCAAAATGTTACACCAGTATCTCTCAAATCAGTTCTTATACTCTTGTAACGATTTAAGAACGGTGCATTCTCAGCGTAGGACTGCTTTAACTTTCAAAATTGCACCTTTTTTGGCCCCTTGAAGTGAAATCGTGTTGAAAGACGCACCTCTTCTCTAAGCCATTCTCCATCCACATGCGAAGTGATCTAAAAGCCCTTCGTGACTCTTTCCTCACCAGCACAGGAAAGAACAAAAGAAATGGAAGAAAAATTAGAGCAGACTGTGGCGACGGTGGAAAAAGCTTTCAAAGTACAAATATTGAAAATGCCCCCGTCACTGCAGCGCAAAAGCGTGAAGGAACTGACGAGTGGTAAGGGAAAACAATTGAAGAAAATGAACATTTTTCTTGGTGGCATTATGAAATCGGAGCAGTGTTGAGCCTTTTGTTTATCCTATGTCTGAAATTCATGTATTTATTCGCTGCAGAAGACGAATCCCAAGCTGGGGAAGTTACAATTGCAATGCAGGTAAATGTTTTACGTTGCACTTGTGCCTGGACTTGAGAGGGGGAAAATAAACATTTACTTACTGGCAAGCTGTAGCTGGGTATAATGGTGCCCCCATCTCAGCCCTCCAATTTTTCTTGCATTATGTTCTTACACTGTAAAATACTGTGCTTTACAAAGGAATTGTAAAGATCACTGCCCCCTATTTGTCTAGGAGAAAGGAGATTTATTAGTGTTCGTAAGTCAGTGGCTGAGCTTTGTAGCACTGAATTATTTCTGAAGGATCCCTGATATTTAAAAGAACAGTCTTTTAACCAATCAAGTGACGCCTTTATGCCTACGGTTATATACAAGTAACTATAGCAGCAGCAGCATACATCGAGGCGGTTATTGCCAAGCAAGCATGAAACAAAACCACTATGAAGTGCTAGTTCTTGCGATGCATAAACGTCCACCCACGAAGAATTATGCTGTAGAAAATAGCACATATACATTAAATCATATTAGCTGTATGTTAAAGGAAAATGCTGCCACCTCTTGTCAAGAAAGGATAACCGCATTGGATGTTCATTTTAGGCAGACTCTTCAGTGATTGAACCGGTGAAAAAGAAAATCGGTAAAAAAGGTAACGCCCTTTTAAAGACACTAAGACTGCTTGCCTATCTGTGAGCAATTCTCTTATGGCGCTTCAGTGTTGGCGGTGTCATTTAAGTACAGAATCTTCAATGATTTAACTTTTTTTTTTTTTTAGCCCAGATTGCTAATAAATCTGAAGCCTCTCGCCCAAAACAACTGAGGAGAATCCTATCGGTGCAAAGCAACAAGACTGTAGAGACGGTAGGAAAGGTAAACTATGCGGTGACTGGCCTTTCCGAGTAGGGTATAGTTAATATTGGCAAAATTCTCTTAACCCCTAACCCGCAGAAATTTAAGATGTTATTTAAGACTATAAGTACAAAACTTCTTGTATCTTTTTTTTTTTTGCAATATAGACTCGTATAAAGTTTCAATGTCTTAAAAACCTGATTAACGTTATTTCCCCAAGACTGCTTTTCAGTGTTTGTGTTTACAGACGGTGACAAAATCCCGATCTTTGGATTTCTCAAATTCGACTTGTGCGAGACCAACACCTCCCAGGTAAACATTTAGAGAAGGCTATTTGATACCATACTATTTTTGAGGGGTGGAGGGAGTGTAGGAATAATCTTATGCCTTTTTATTTCTGTACAAGTTTGAAGCTCTTCAAAGATTTTAACTAGAATTGCTTTGCAATTCGCTTTCCCAGCTAATGCTGAATAACCAACTCTTGGTTATGCCAAATGCCAGGACACTATACAGAGCTGCCCACACATAATGTATGGGATCTACCTCCAAAAAGTACTATTTAAGGCCATTATTCGAGCTTGCAGGAAAAGCTGCTTTGTCAGTCCCTTTTCTGAAGGCATGTCTTTTCCAGGGCTAGTCCAGCTGCTCCAGCCTCCACTCTGAGAACAAGAAGGACTCATAGTCGGATTGCTAAAGCCACAAACTTGACTGCATTGCCCAGTGAAAGTCTGCTGAGGTTCCCCCCCCTTTTCTTTTCAAATTGCTTCTTAAATCTGGTTGTACATTTTTTTTTTCCTTACTTAATGTGCACTTTTGTACTGTCCTTTTTAAGCTCCTGCAGCCTGTGGCTGGTCCGTTACGCGTGTTGACTTTGTATGCATGTTTTCCTTTCTAACAGAACCACCAGGCTGGCGAGTGATGGGGAGATAGTTGGTAACTCCCAGTTAGGAATTGCCATTGCCACTATTTCTACTTCTCATGGACGGGTAAAACCACAATCGCATAAGTCTCATTGAGATCTCATGATGTGTCCCATAAGTCCCACTAAGCCCCAAGCCCTTCCTCCAAGATCACAGTTTTGTGACGTGGAGCAGATGTTGTGCCATTATAAAAAGGGTATTGGGACACCCTTGAATATTTTCTTCCTCATGGCAACTTCACTTGGCCTTGAGAGGTTAGAATATGGTTAGCAAGGGGTTTTGGGTAGTACCCTTCAGTGAAGTCTGGTCTAATGTGGACATGCGAGAAGGGCTCACTGAGGGAACTTATGAACACCCTTGTGAAACGCAGACTAGAAATTGGGGGGGGGGAGAGTCCTTTCAGACCCTCACAGGAACATGCATATGAAGGCCATGAGACCGCAAGTGTGAATATTGGAATGAGACCTTGGAGACCCAAACCTTTCCGTGTAGGGAGAATTGTAACCCTTAAGTTATAAGTCAAAACTTGTACTGAAACATGTGTACGTATTCTTGTTTTTTAGCTTGATGTTCATGCTAGCCCTCTAAATGCTTCATTCATGTCCACCTTTAGAAGGGCTTGCATTAAAACTCATTCTTTCTTCCTTGACTGCGTTCTTCTGTGAGACCTTCACCTTGTCTGATGAGGGAAAAGATGAAATTGACCTGGAGATGCTTGATGACACTGCCTTAACGCAGATGCAGAAATTAATGGTAAGTGCTGTTTACACTTTGGGATTCCAACAAATAGCATAACATGGGAGACCAACATTATTTTACAGAGAAAAGTTATGTAGTTCACATTTACGATTTTCTCAGACTAATAGGAACAAGTATAAGCATTCTGATGTAACTTTTCTTTCTCCCAGAGTTTGATGGATTACCTGTGCAGTAAAGCCAAAGTGAATTCAAGTTGAGGTGCTACCAGGAAAAAAAAACAACTTAATGCTGTGATTTTTAAAGCCCATTTGACAGACTTTAAGCGTTTCTTAGGATGGGGAAAAACTTCTTTATTGAAAGTTTTATCTTCAGATGAATGTTATGTAATGGTCTATTTAAATAAAAGTATGTTTTCTAATGTATAAATTGACTTGTATTTGTAATCCATTACTGTGCTGATTTGATGCCCTCTGCTTTAAATGTGGCAGAAAAGCCCTTGCCTTCCAGAGTGATGTGCTAGCTTATTTGTATATTAAGAGACCTTTAACCAAAATGGAATCAAGTTATGACCATTAAAAATGCCTTTTGATTTTGACTGGGAGTACCTGTAGACTACAGATTTTGTGGATAAAAGGTGACTTGTTTTGAATGAATGGAATACTTGAGTTTCAATTTTGATATGATCTCAGGAGGCCAGGTGAAAAAGCTTTAAGGCTCTAGAAACCCTAGATGAAATGCTGGCGGTTTGCATCTCATTTATCCCTTCTTAATTTTAGAATTCCTAGCTTCATTCATCAAATGCTTCCCAGTATATTGGACTTTTTTTTTTGTTTTTGTTTTTTGTCCTGTGTGGTTCACAGCAGACTCTTTGTAGTCCTATCATGATCTTCCTGACACAAATCAAGCGGTATGATGTTATTCAACATCTTCCCCTGCTCAGCAAGTGTCGGAGGATGTCTTCCTATTTGCTGTAGTGACTTCATTAAATGCAGAAATCATTCTCAGAGATGGATTACCAATTCTCCTCTGGAAGAGCTTCAGTCTAATTATAGGTCAGCCTTACTCCAAGAAATTAAAGATTAGGATCACTTATGACTTTAGGATATGCCAGTTCTCATGGGCAAGGGTAAGTGGAGTTTGCTTCCAAGAAATCTTAAACACTTGTATAATTGATCATAAGTCTTTACAAATTGACTTAAGGATGAGCAATAAAACCTGAAGAACTGGGGATTCTTAGAACCATGAGCAAAATGCTTGTGTTGTGAATCTGATTTCATGGATGAAGTAGGAGATTGTGTGATTTAATGGTAGTATTCAAAAGGAGGATTTCATGAACTGCTCAATTAGCCGGGCTCTCCATACTTTGAAACTAGGCAATAACTTTACATGCTTCTCTTCTGAACAGCTTTGCATTTTGAAGATGCCCATCATTAAATGCCATGGCTTTTTTTTTTTTTTACACCTTTTCACATTTTTAGAATTGCAACCAGGGAAGACTAATATGTAAGTTGATGGATCTCAATAACCACTATGTACACAGAGAAAGAATTGTCAATGGCAAAAAAAGTTAAATACCTAAAGCTGACATAACACATTTTATTGTACAAGTAAACATGTGCATCAAGACTGAATATTTTAATTACAAGATTTTCTAAACAGGCTTCTACAGTTTGGATAAATGCAAAATATGTTCTGCAGTTTATTAGGTTAATATCTTTCATAATGAGTGATTCAGTAACTCCACCACAAAGCTGTTACCATGGGCGAAGGAAATTCCATGTAATGATGATAAAACTGCCTTGAAAGTCAATGGTTGACTCTTGTCCTGAAAAGCCACAATCTAGCATGATTACCCTTAAATTATCACTTTAGGAATGCATGGAAGATATTTATTTGACCACTTAAGCAGGTCTAGTTTTTCATGGAAAATTAAAATAGCAGCAGGCTGTAGCATTTGAACAACAGTGTCATTCTGTTGAACAGTGTCTGATTGACCCATTATGAATCATTACCAATTGAGCTGAGGATCACCTGTAATCTGTTAGGTTGTGGATCTACAGGACCAGGCCAGGCTACAGTTGATTTACATGACAGCCTTTGTACTAAACAGAAGGCAAGCTATCACAGTACACAGGATTCTTTGTATGAAGGCTACACTTTGTTAAACAATGTACACCTTTTATCCATCCAGTCTATTTTACAGGAATACAATGTGCACACTAACTTCTTATAGGGGTGCAAGAGAAATCAAAGTTCTAGAGCAGTGGTACCAATCCTGGGTGCAGTAGACTGTGGTCTCTTGGTTCCTGCTCAAGTCACACTCTTGTCAGCTTCATTAATTTTTCTACAATATAGGGCATATTATAAAATTTGGCTTCTGCTCTCAAGACTGAATTTATAATTACCAACCCTGTATCAGTTTGACATTTAAGACTTAGTCTGGCATTACCTATTGTCATTCCCTATGTTTGGTTCATTATAGTTATAATTTACCACCTGTTTAGGAAGAAAAGGCAAGCAAGTGCAGTATCTTTAAAAATACAGGATTTAAGTGCAGGGTAAACCAGAACTCTAAACAAGCAAATTAGGGAAAAAGCTTCATAAACAGTGCTATAGTAGAGCTCAGTTTGAACAAAAACCAGACTGAGAATCTCTAAATTTATTTTTAAATCTCAAGAAGAGCAGTTCTTATTCCTGGTCTTGATAGAACAGTTGTCTGGCTTTCATTCCAACTGGGCTATTAATCACCTCTGGTAATTGATGCATATAACTGATAAACTTGCTTGATTAGACAGTAAGCTGTCCTTAGAGTCAAAAATGCCACATAGTACATTACTTCCAACTACATACAGTAGTGTCAACTAACTTGCTATTTAAATTTGCCATCTTGCAAAAATGTCCTTAACTTATCACTTATGATGATTGGTATGATAATTCCCTACCAAGCATCCATGTTTTTTACTTAGACACTTATTTCAGTTAACAGGTGAAGTAGGGAAGTTCTGAAACTCCAGCATGGGTATCAGGTTCATATCACTTAAAAACCCCATAAAGTGCAGAAGCAGAAATAAAGTTACAATCATTCCAAAAGTAAAGACCACAATTTTCCCATAACCAAGACTGACAAACACTGTGATTGACTTAACTATGTAAAGCTATGACAAGACTCTAGACTTTTTACTCTTGTTCTTCTGTCAAGCAGTTTTCTAAAAGGACAGCCTCCATCCCAATCAAAAATCAGCTTAATCAAAACTGTCATTTCTTGTAGAGATTTTGCCTAACACCAGTTTCAATTAAAACCCTCTTAGTCACTTGCTGGGCAAAAGTCTGCTGGACTAATATTCAGGAAAGCAATTTGGCCCTGACTAGGTTTTCCATCAGCACCATTTAAACAGATTTATCTGCAGACAACATTTTTAAACAAAATTGGGTTTCATTTCACTAATAGCTGGTGGAGTAATGTTCCATAATGTTATGCAGTTATAAAGCCTACACAAACAGACTTGAGACTTCAGTATCCTGTTCAATGAAGACTTAATTGACTTCTCAAATGACGTGCTCTGCTACTCAGAAGATTTTGAAGAATATTTTATTTATCAACTTCAGAAACTTTTCTTTCACAGAAGTAAAACACCAACAACTGGTATCCCCTATTTTTACATCTTAAGGGCTTTTCTATCTTGCTCATCAGTGCAGAAAACCAATGCTTTCTAACATGCACCTGGGTTAAAGACCGATACAGGCTATGGAATTGTTTATTCTATTTTAGAATAGCAGCTTGTGTGACTGCAGCCAATACAAAGCTTAATGACACTTTTGTACACAAGGTTTTTCAATTTTAAAATACACAGAAAGAAAAGAAAATAAAAATCTACAAAGAAACTCATAAAAATCAAGCACAGATACAAATACAGACAGAAACCTAAAATTGTGGTAATGAACATTTGTTTCTTTTTAAAGGATTTCTCTCCCCTTCTCAAATCTCTGTGACAAAGTTCTGAGTTTGAGGCAAAACATCTGCATTTATGGTTAGTTTATATTAACTCTGTAAATACTATGACAAAATGTAAGTTACACATAGAGCAGAAAGAAATGACCTTAGATCCAATCTGGATTGTTCACAGGAAAACATGGCAAATCCAACCCAGAAAAAATCTGAAACCACACCCTTCTGTGCAACTTAAGTTTTCTCATGTGTTTACTGATGGGCACACTGTACCCCTGGGCCATGATGCCCACTTTCTTCATCAGAGCTGTCGTTGTAAGCTTCACGCCTGTGCCCTCCTGCTGATCCATGTTTCACATCATAATCCTGAAGATCAACTTCTTCTATTTCTCCACAAACACTGGGGGCTTCAGCTCTAGCAGGGAGTAAATCCTCCAGTTCCTAAAAGAATATAAAAAAAATGACCTACTGTAATGTTTTACAAAAAGCCTCAAATTTGAGCTTAACACACGAAGAACACATTCATATTCATCATTTTGTATTTCTGAACAGAAATAATCAGAAGCTTACGTATCCATTTTAATACACATTCCCTTTAAACATATTGAAAAATTACAAGTTATTTGGAAAAGTTTACCGTCATTTTTTCTGGACTGATCCAGTTGTTGTCAGGAAACTGCACATCAAATTTAATATACAGATCACCCTTCTCAAAAGGATTACGGTACTGTGGCATGCCTTCACCTCGCACCACACGGATTGAGCCTAAAAAAAAAAATCAATACAGAAGTTTAGAAAAACTTTAGTGCATAAGCACATTTAAACACAAGCAAAAAATATACTATGTTACAATTTAAAGTGAAGTATCTTGAAATTATACATTAAAACTAAAACTGAAGTTGACAAGCAGGCTACTCAAATATATACCTGGCTCAATAACTTTTCCAGCAGGGTATTTGACGACAATCTGCCTTCCATCTAAGTGTTTCAATGTGAACTGGAATCCACAAAGTGCTTCAACAAGGCCAATCTTATGGGTCATGTGCAAGTCATTGCCTTCTCTCCTAAATATCTGAAGAAAGAAAAAACATTTTAGTAATGATTCCTAAAATATTTAAAGTTTAGGTACCTATGTTTTTTTCTGAAGTGTCAGGAAATACATTTAATAAGGTGATTAATTTTATACACTATTAATCACAGCATCATACAATACCTGTAGACACTACACAATTGATCACACTTGAAGTCAATACAAAATGCCAAAAACGTGCTTTTAAAGAGTTATTTAAAGAACACTGTGACAAGTATTTGCAAAGGGTGTGCTGAAACCTGCCACATTTTAAAAAAATGCAGTAATGGAGTGCATCTAGGCCAAACATGTGAAATAGTTAATGGATTACATCTAAAAGTGTATTAACGCATAATGCTGCTCTAGCGATAGAGGCTGTCTATTTCCAAGGGGATTTCATGCAAAAAGGGGGCAGATGGCCTTATAATTACAAATCTAAATGGGAAGAATCAAACAGCACTATTGTGATTGAGCTTACTTAGCCTTTTGAAATGGAAAAATTAAAAAACAGTGGATTTGAAATTTAACACTTTAATACAAAGACTGCACAGTTACTTGATAATGCCTGAAGTACAAAAATAGTGGAAAGCTTATAAGCTTATAACTAAAGACTGAACTTTATATTTGATAATATCTGGATTAACCAATGATGCTAATTAGACTGTACTAAAATATAAACCAACAAACTATAATTAGCACAAAAAAACGACCTTTGGGTAAGCCTGTAACAATGGCCTTTCGTATAAATATTTTCTTACCATTACAACTATAATTCCTAAAATTTAATTTCACAAAATTCATATGTAGGGCACTTGAAATCACAATTCTCAAACTCAACTTATATCTCACTTTATTTGATGTACGCATTCCAAACTATTGAACTAATCCATCAGCCTTACGTCATGCTCCTTCTCCTGTAGTATAAGGACAATGTCTCCAGGTTCCACACCAGGTGCCTGGTCAGCTTCTCCACCGAAAGTAATCTTCTGTCCATGTTTCATGCCTTTGTCTACATGAACTTCCAGGATTTTTACTTCCTTGACGACTTTCTTACCCTCACATTTTTTACAGCGATCCTTTTCATTAATAACCTCACCTGAACAAAAAAATAGGATGTAAAAATGCTTTTAGACATTTAAAAATAATACAGGATTCACAAATGTGTAAACATAAATACATTTCAGTATACCATCTTTAGGATCACAACAAAGTCTGGGTTAGAGAATGTTGTCTTTTCCATATGTGGTTATAATTCTGTCAAACAAAACTTACCTTCTCCATTACAATCAGAACAAACTGACTGCATCTGTTGGACCATGCCTGGAGCTAACTGTCTGATCATGACACGCATACCACGGCCCCTGCAAGCCACACACTTCTGGACAGCTCCCGTTTTTCCACCCTGGCTGTATGAAAAAACAAGACGGACAATTGTAGAGTTCTTTTAAATGACTTCTCTACAACCTACAACAGTTTCCTTCATTTCCAGCAATTTCCTTAAGTCCGAAACCTAAGAGGTACACAACTATGTTAAATAGATTAAGGGTTAGGAAAGTTGCTAACAGCGTGAAAATTAGTGCACTGATAAACTCGTTCAGAAGAATTTCTCAACATATACAACAAACCCATTTAATGTTTTTAAGTCAGCCCTGCTTTAGTTAATGTGTAAATGCATGATCCAATTTACTCATGTCCAAAAATTAACCTATTAAACGCTCACATCTTATATAAGAAGCCACAGATGGAAGAAAAAATGCAGCAAATTTTGTTGCACTTACCCGTTGCAGGCACTACAAAGAACATTCTTGCTTAGTTGTAATTTTGTCGTCTTCCCATTGTAGAGATCTTCCAAGGAAACTCTTGAAAACGGAAGCAAAAAAATAATTTTGCCACTAGAAAAATGCTTAAGAGCATGGTTCTACAGAATGACATCTTGTGGCAACAAACATCTTTTGACTAACATGCAGGATTATTTTTTCATTAAGAGAGTGTATCAACCATCTTAGAATATTGGGGTGCCCATCAGTGAAAAATACAAGCTACAGGTTCTCATTCTGGAGGAAGCACAGAACCTTTTCATGAAATTTCTATATCATCTCTTAACAAAGAGGAACATAGAAGTTAAACAAAAGGTGGAGCATTAAAATCGCTCTTTGTAATTATAAAAGGCACCAACTTACTTGAGTGGATGAACCATATCTTCACCTCTTCGTCTTCCATTTCGGTTCCTGCTTTGACCACCCATAAACCCAAAGAGACCACCTCCAAAAATGTGAGAGAAGATGTCATCCATTCCACCACCTCCTCCACCACCTTCCCGCAGCCCCTGTTCTCCATATCTGTCATACAGTTCTCTCTTCTCTGGGTTGGACAGTACTTCATAGGCAAAGCTTATTTCTTTAAACTGCATAAAAGAAAAGCATGGACGGGCTGTCAGAATAACAGGTCACTGCACAATGCTTGCTAACATTAAAAATAAGCAGTCGAATACCCTAAGGTCTTATGAAGCCTTATTTATATTTCTCCACAAAATGACAGGTATTATAAAGATTTTTTAAAATTCATTAGTAATATTACAAATTCAAAACTTGCCCCGACTTTCTCTTAACTTTTTGTAACTATGACAAACTAACCTAAAACCACCAATATAAGTGTTAATATGTGGCCAGTTACGCTCACTTTGCTTTCAACTCAATGCGATTGTCTGAAATTTGTAGGATCATACCACCAACAAGAAAGTCTTGATAATGCCTATATTCAAGATGCATTTAAAATCTACAACACAGGACCACTCCATATTAGAAGACATTAGCCATTATCATGATTACAATCTGAGATCTGTGGGATGAAGGAGGCAATTGGTGCAACTTGATGTTAATAAAAAACAAGCACCCCCAAAAGAACTGCTGGTACCAACGAAAAGCCATTTAAAAATGAAAAATATTATACGTCTTAAAGACCTTATACACAAAAAGTTGACTTAGTACAGCTTTGCAACACCCTGTTAACGTTCTTTAGATTTTACAAAATCATACTTTTAGGGAAGTTCCAAATAGTTTCCATCAAGCAGTTCGCATGTAAAAACTCTTCTCCTTACCTTATCTCCAGCATTTGGATTCTTATCAGGATGGTATTCTTTTGCTAACTTGCGGTATGCCTAAAGGAAGAATATAATAAACAATTTTAGTTTGCGAGCCACTATACTTGGATTAAACCACACAAATCTAATAAACGTGGGCTGATATGCTCAGATAAACATAAGCAATAATGTTAACCCTGTGACAAAACACAAATAATATGCTATGTTTTCACGGGAGTTAGTCTTACTGTACTCATGACATTGTCCGAGATAACACTGCAAATATTTTTATACATCTGCAAACAGATGTTCCAAAAATAAAACATTGTCAGTAAGCTTGGTTAGATCATACTGCATATATTGCTTAAGGCCTTTAAAGCACAAAAGGTATTCTTGACTGGTACAGACCCCTTATCTACAACATGAATAACAAAATCCATTTCCCAAGGGTTTTAGGCGTTTTCAGCATTTTTCTACATCTGAAGAAATACCAACTTAATCTAATTACTTGCTCAATTAGACATTTAAGACTTTCCAACCTACTGAGCAACCAAGAGATCAGGGAAATCAAAGTTGGTAAGACTACTGTCACTGAATACCGGAAACCAGAAATACACAATATACATTGTCTTAAGTAAAATTCAAAAACTAATTCAACTGACACGACTTTAGCTCAATGTACTCACTAGGGACCAACTGATCTGATTTCATAGCTAGAAATAAGATTAAGTATTCACATATGAATTAACAAAAGAAAGTACATTAAGAATTTAAACTTGAATTACTGAATTCGTTTCTTAAAAACCCAGAATCAAATGTACTGATATATCGATAATGTTTCAGTCATCTAATAGCTACCTTAAGCCTCGAGGTTTATAGATGCTTCTGGAAGTTATGCTAATTGCCACCAGCTGTTAAAGAACACAATGAGCACAGAACCACTAAATACCACATCATGGAGAAATTAATAATTTTCTTAAGATCCAACTTAAGTGATTTACCTTAACTTTATAAAAATATCTAGAAGAGACCACACTTTTAACTTGTCTCCATCAAGAATTTATGGTTGGTCAGGAAGAAGATAGTTATATACCTGAAAGTGTGTTCAGAAAATTGGTTTGGTGACCTTGTTTGTTAATTCACAGCCAAAGGTAACAATTGTGTATCATTCAAAAAACCCTCAACGATGACCAGGACAAAACTCCTTTAAAGCTTGACCCCCTTAATCTGGAGTCTGTGGCAGAATTCCATGGCATCATAAACACTTGCCAAATGGCAACCTCCCAAATCAAACGGTGCTAAACAATGCGATTCCATGGAAACAGATCTCAGATAATCATAATACAGTGACATGATTAATACAAAAATAATTTCATGTTGATAAGGAATGGCATCCCCTTCATCATCAAGAACAGAATTACATTCAGTGTCAATGCAGTTTTGCATCCTCTTGTAGCATAGTAGTGTCCTAGGTAGAGCTGGTAGAGTGATTCCCAAGGTATTCCAAACACAAATTGGTGCCTAGAAGATTAAGCTTGGCTGCAAGTGGATTTTACAATAGCCTGTGTCATGTTAAAATAAAGCACAAAGCTCTACAATGTTCTGCTAGAGACTGATGACAAGTTGTGGCACCAACTGAAGAAAGCAGAGTTAAAATACAGACTATGCAAAATACTACAGTAGTCAAATATCCCTGGAAAGGTTATGAATACAGAGGCTACCATATTTTAAAAAGAAAATAAGGACCAATAGGTACAATATAAACCCTCACTCAAAGTACTGCGATCTTCAACCAATGTCAAATGCAACTTTGTAAAACTAAAGTAAAATCTAGACAGCTCAGAATATAGCCAGCAGTTGTATCACCCTGCAACTCACAATTGACAATCCACTGTAGCCAAGCAGGTGTGATGCTGGCCAGTACCTGGATGCGAGACCTTCCAGGAAAGCGAAGGTTCCTACTGGAAGAGATGTTAGCGGGGCCACTAGGGAGCACTCATCCTGCAGTGTGAGGATCCTAATGCCACAGTTTAGGGATGGGTACACTATATTGTAAAACTGTCCTGACCTTTGGATGAGAAGTAAAACCGAGGTTATTAAAAATCACATTTCTCAAAAAGAGTAGGGGTGTTGACCATGGTGTCCTTGCCAAATAATACCCCCAGCCTTTACCAATCATAGCCTCCCTTTGATAATCCCCATCTATGAATTGGCCTCATTACTCTGCTCTCTTCCCTAATGAGAACTGATGTGTGGTGAGCATAGTGGCGCACTCTGGCTGCCATTGCATCATCCAGGTGGGGACTACACTTTGGTGATGGTGGAGGGGAGTCCCCATTACCTGTAAAGTGCTTGCGTGAAAAGTTCAGAAAAATTCTATAAGGATCCACCTAGATAATTTGCACATTCCTACAACTTCCCCCTTCGTGGGATTCACAGGAAGTAAAACCAGAATACTAAGGTAGCCTTCCATGGGCAGGAGAACACCACTTCGAAAAATGGGGTAGAATTTAAACGACTGTTTCACAGCTCTTAAAACGACGTAATTTTAACCGGCTTTTTTTCCTGGAGTTTGATTTGTGATTTCTCACGCCCTTCGTATAGAAATAAGCGGCTCTCTGAATATTTGTGGCCCAAACACGTATATAAAAGAGAGATAAGCAGACGGCCGCACGATATCAACCGAATATTTTCATGTAAAAATCGCAATAAATAAAAACAACGAAAACGATTTTAATCACCAACTTACAGCGGCTTACCAGCCATTAACGAGTTTTATAAATGTAAAAAAAAAGAGTCCAGCATTTGTTTACGTCTACTTAAAAATGATTCCCCTCCTCCGAGAAGACCTGTCGTTCTCAGCAGTTTTGGTTCAACAGTTTTACCTAAAATGAAAACCAACCTTAAAAAAAAAAAAATCGAGCCTCGTTTCGATTAACTTATTGTGACCACCTTTCCTCTTCAAAGGCAACAACCTTACACGGAATTCAAATAAAGCGATGTGAAACCACAACTCACTGAAAGGTAACGCCGGGTTGAATGACAAAGCAGTGTTGCACATAAATAAAGAAGATGATCACAAAATAGCCCGGCAGTGAGTTTGTTTCTTTTTTCAGTTGGGCCCGGTAGTGTCTTACAATGGATATGGATAATGCTGCTAGGCCACATTTATCAACCCCCTGCTTCCTTCTTCCTAAAGACTTCCCCGCAGTTTGCGACGCTAAGGTAACCGACACCAGCGAACACACTTAATGCTCCCGTTCCCTTGTACCTTTTTCAGCTCGTTTTCAGAAGCACTGGGGGGCACCCCGAGGATGTCGTAGAGTTTAGTATCAACGGCGTTCGCCATGATGGAGCACAGAGAAGGACCTTCTGCAGGGGAAGCGGAGGAGAGAAAGAGGAGCCGGCCGGAAACGTCACGCGCAACGAGTCAACTTTAACCTACCGGCTCCTGCGTCACTTGTGTGCCGTTGTCTCACGTGATCGATGACGGAGCCTGGAGAGGCACAGAAGTGCAGGACGAGGTGGGAGCTGGGCATTGCTTCGGTCCTTAGAAATTCATGTTCATGGCATACTGGAGGTGGAAGCGCTTGCTAATCGTGTGAATAAAAACAGCGCAAGATACACGCTGTTTTTTTCCAGCGTATTCCTTGTCTTTAAAAGGTCGCTGTATTTGGCGTGATATATTTTTATGATTTTCTGACATAAAATAGATGTTTAAAAATATTGATTATTTTCATTGAAAACAAAGCAACGCAGCACGTAAATCCCAACGGGGTACTATTTATTATTTCCATGCGTACAGTTTTGATCTTTAAAGAGGTCTAACGTTTTGAATAGTGAAATATAATTGACTATAAAACACAAAAGCTCCTTTTACTGTTGTTGCTCTAGAATTGGAATGTGGTGGAATATATCTCCATGCTTGTAGATACGTATGCCCCAGGAAAATACTCTGGCACTGACTCAGGACTGTGTATTTAGTCTAAATGTTATATAAAAACGACTGAGAATGTTACACAATCCTTTTCCTCTTGCTCAACATAGTGATCATGACTAAAGAGCATGAATTGAAATGATGTGCACCTTTTACAAAGACTTGGAGCAAGAAACACTTTTCCACAAAGGAACAAACTAAATTCATATTGTGGATGTTGAGTCTCTGAGAACATGAAGAAAATTGTGATGGATTTCTGAGGTCATTAAACTTCTACAGCCTGATGAACGAGATGACTTAAATGGTGTTCTGCTCTCATCTGTAACGTTTATAATGTTCATATTTTAAGGATCGTGCCAATTAGTCCAAATGAAAAGTGGTTTTGTTGCCTGTAATAAATTAACAATTAGCAGGCTCTGCCTCATTTAGTCATAAAGACTAAAATGATCATCAATATAAAATGTTCTTAGTACTCTCCAAGCTGGTCAGTGATTATAGATAGTACAATGTGGGCAAGCAGTATTTAATTTGTCTTACCCATTGGTAAAATGTCTCACATTTAAACATCTATTGACTTAAAAATAAATTGTTGGTTGTACTAGTTATTTTCACATTTTAGGCAGGATAAGTACAAAACTGTGATCATTTTCCAGGAACTTTAACTTTGTTCTAATGCTATCCTTATTTTCATTATTTGATTGAATTTCCACTTGAGAAATTAGTTTAACTGTACAGTACATGCACCTGTCAAACTGTGAAATATTGTAGTTATAAATCCACCTGCACATCTAAAGAAAGCATAAATCCACTTTTGAAAGTAAATCTAGGATAAATACTCAGTATAATGTAAAACAATATTTTATATTAAGTTTACTAAGCTGTGCCTACACACTGATTTAATAGTCAAAGTATATAACCCTGCAGATGTGAAAAGTGTATAAGCAAACACATTATCAGTACTGGTAAATTACATTAGAAGTGCAATTCTGGAAGCACTACTTCAAGCGAAATGAGAACCTGTTTGATTTACTGAGAAATGCTTTAAATGACTGACAAAGTCCTGATTCTGTCAATGTTTTTTTTTAAAGCAATTTACATTAGGGGACAAATCATATTAGAATCTCACTGAAACGAATGTTGACAAAAGAGCTTTTTGTATACACAGATATAAACATACACAGGTGTATGTGTATAATGAAATGGCTTATTTCTGAATGTATTGTTGATTTGGAAGAAATCATTCTTTACCTTTCCATAATATTAAGATACAATTTTTTTCTTTCTTTCATAATGCTGTTTGTGACACAAAAGACAAACTAAGTACTCCAAACTTTAAACTTTGATGTAGTCAAAGTTGACTTAAAGTAACAGATCCCATCACAGCTGAAAGTAATTGTACTAAAAGGTGACAGTAAATGATTCAGTTTGCTGCAGCTTAATGTGATCTCTTAATATAGAAATAAGTTAAAACAATTTATGCTAATTAAGGAATAAGTCACTAGTCAGTGCATGCCTCGTTAGATTAAGCAAGAAAATAAAATTCAATAATAAGTTGCACTTATATTAGAGTGTTTGTGTACAGAGAGACAGGATTTCTAGAACAATAAAATATTTTTTCAGTAGTGCTATGTCAATTTTAAGATTTTTTTAGCTTGTAAGACAATTTCTATCATACCCTTCTTAATGTTACATTCATTAATGTTACATGCACCAGTTACTGAATTTGAGAGTACTGTACCAGTTTATTTACATTCCCTATCCTTATTGTGTACAGTATCAGTTACATTTTAATTAGCAGTTTTTGAAAAAATAAATTAGCTTCTGTCTTTCCCATGAGGTTTGACTGTGATATATATTTTGAGCACCAAGAGAAACATGTCACTGTTTTTAGCAAAAATAAAGTACAGGGATTTGGACTACTGATCGGGAAAACCACAGAAACCAATATGCCCATCAATTACATTTTCTACAGTCAGTTTGTTAGAGGAATGGACTCCTCCAGAAAAATAGTCAGCGCACTTTTGCTTGCAACTTATACTTATTACTTAAAGAGCAGAGTAAAATGTTTGATGTACTGTAATAAAAAGTGAAAGTGCAGGTTCCATTCATTAGGTGTCAGGCATTACAGCTGAAAGCTCACTTAAATAATCTGTAATCTCAAAGGATTCATTCATAATTAAATTTAGAGATTAAATTAGAACTCCTTAAAAAGGTATGCTTTTTAATAAACCCCTCTGAAAACTAGAAAATACATTCACACTCAGCAGTATTTTTGTAGGGCTTTTATCCGGTATTACATCGAGCCTGTTCTGTCAAGCTTTGGGCTGAGTGGTTCATTCTGTTGCTCAGTTTAGTAGCCTAATCATGCAGTGCATCGTGAGTTCTTGAAGGTTAAACAGGAAGGCACACTTTTTCTATCAGCACAGCTCCAGATGTACAATAAAAACAAGTGATAAGGGAATGATGTATTGTTGCTCTCCTGGCCTAGGATCAATAGATTTTGTTGAGATAATGTTTATAGGAAAAAAGCTACATGTAATTTCTGTGTACTATTTATTGTCAAACTCATCAGAAACAATACTTGACATGAATAAAATGAAAATACAAATCATTCAACTTCACTGTGAAGTCATTTTTACATTTTTCTCTTCAATGCATTTTTTTTTCTGGTATAGGAAATACAGAATCCAGTAACTGAGTACAGTAGTACATTTTTCATGTGCAGTTCTGTATGAAATTGTTCTAAAGGACTGAAGGGTGAAGAAGATAAAAGTTACAGAATGTAATATTTAAAAGTTTATTATTAAAAAGACAGGTAATTGTATATTAAAGCAATATGGAGGTAAAGACGTTGTAGATGAGCCATGTCAATCATGTCAGTGTGGATGGCACTGAATTAAGAGTTTAAAAGAAAGGGCACCTGCAACATAACCTGGACAAGCACTCGATACGTTCTTAACCATAAACCGAAATCATTTTTGGGATGTGATCCTCTCTGATTCCCTGTTGTTCCCTGATTTCCTGTTGTTATTTTCAGGCTACATGAAGTCAAAATGTGTAGAAATGACATAGAAATGATTGTCACCTCCATTCTGTAGAGCCATGCCATATTTTGTTTAGTTGAATATATTATTAAAGGAAATCACATTTTGGAAAAATGAACCTAACTCTGCAGTTACATAGAGCAACATCTGCAAACCACTGAAGCAACACTGACATTTCAATAGAACAATTTTCTAGGCTGCTGGAGGATCTAATAGCTGGTAGAGAAAACTCTAAATACAATTAATTAACACTCCATGTAGTATAGATACAACTGTGAAAATGTTGGTTAAAACAAACAGAGAAGTTAGAAATTTGTTATGATAACTGAGAGTAGAATGTTTACTTTTCATCATTGTGTCAATGTAGATAAGCTCTATATGTGCGCTTATCAAACACCTGTGCTTAAAGCAGGCAATCAAGACAAATACCTAATACCACGATGATTTAGTTTAGTCCATAGGCTTAGTCTCAACACCTCCACACATTTTCTTTCTCAATAAGGACAGAATTAAATAGGAATTAAAATTCTCTCCTTTTTGTCACAAAATAACCAAAAAATGTTATTACAGAGTGGAGACCTTCAGACTAGTCCATTGGTAATCACAATCTGGGAACATTAAAGGACCATTTTTATTGCCATATGAAGACCTCTAAAATTATGTACTTATTTTCTTACATTAAGGCATTTCTGGGCATTAAAGTGGAATGGTAGTCAGCACTGCCATTTCACAACCCCTGGGTGCTGGGTTTCATTCTGGCCTGGGTTGTCTTCTTGTGCGGAGATTGAATGTTGTGCCCATGCTGTCCAGTATGTTGAATTTAATGTTTCCTGGGTTCTCCAGTTAAAGGTCCAAAGGCATGCTCTCCAGGATAATTGTCATTTCTAAATTGTCCCACTGTACGTGTGTGTGTATACCCTGGCATAGACTAGAAAGCTTTAAAAAGTCAAATGTGCTATGAAACTCTTTGAATGAGGAGTAAAATTAAGAGCCTGCTCTTCTCTGCCTTTTCTGTGAGTGCACCTCTTCACTCACAGGACTGATAGCTGACTGCTTTTAAACAGTCAGAATGGGTTCTAGTTTCATCAAGTAAGTCTCTACTTTAAACTTTTTGGATTGGGCTTTTTTTAGATTCAAATAGAATGCAATATCAAAGACTTTGTTATGATGTTCAAAGACATCTCAATAGGATCACTGAAAGCAAATCAAGCATGGGGGATGAAATGGACAAATCAACGACTGTACTGAAATACAGCTCACTCTTAAATGACACTCAGTTCCTGAAAATCCTTATATCTCTTAGAACTACTTTTTTACCTCTTTTATAAGTTTATAGAATTGTATTTTAAAACGTTATATATTAGAATATATTAGAAATCATTTAAATGCAGTACTAATCCTCTGTTAAAAAACAAATATCAGGTTTGCTGTTTTCATAATAAAATGTGGTCATCTATAGCATGATTATGGCATATGACATGTCTAAAATAAAATACAAAATAGAGGAAGCTAATAAAATGCCTAATATTTTATGTAAAAACTCCCACTGCAGACAATAATGCTATATACTAACATTTAATTCAAATAGAGTATACCTGAAAGGAATTAAGTGCTTTCCATTAGATGATATTTTTTAATTCTCTGTTTTTCGTATTAGGATGTAACGTCCTAGAAATTGACACACTTTAAAAGGAACTTTCGAAATGTATGTACAGTACATTTTTATGTATCTATGTATTTGCAAAACATTACAGGAGCAATACCAGCATGTACCCTGATCTGTTCAGATTTCAGAAGCTAAGCAAGGTTGAGTCTAAAACTGTGATGCAATTGACCTGAGATCAGATTTCTATAGAAAACCAGGTTGCTGTTGAAAGTCATGCTGGTGATCAGTAGGTGGCACTCTTTCCTCTGAACCAGAAATTCCAGATGGTTTTATGTGGTGATAAGGACCTTAAACTGAGATCCTGAGTACATAGTTATTCAAGATCCCATGACACTGTTCAGTAGAGAAGAGGTATTACCATGGGCTTTCAAAACTCCTGCCTATTTAAAATTGTCCATCTGAATTTCTTACTGCTCAACCTGATCTGCTGTCTACACGCTGCTGGTCATAATGACTACCACGAGTTACCCATGTGTATGCTGCATTTCAGTGGTAGATGAAGTGGGACCCCTCCTACAGTAGATGTGAAGTGCTTTGCGATGAAAAGCTCTATACAAATGTCAACAGTTATTAATGGACACTGGGAGAAGTTGGGTGTTATGAGTGGATAGGTGCATCCATGACATCTCAGAAATAAAAGACACATTCAAAATCTTCTATCAAGAATACTGGATTATTAATGAAGCTATGTCTATGACTAGTCTGTGCAGTCTTATAAAAAAAACAGTTACTCATTAGAGCATGATTTAACAACCTACCAGGTTTAAAATAGTTAAATATTCAATCAACAATTTACCAAAAATAGAAGGAAAAACAGAATGTTATATTCCCTAATCTACATTTAATAAACGTACAAAGACAGGTAAGTTAGGATATTTTTTATTCAAAACAAAACACCGCACTTAAAAAAAATATTTCCATAATGTCTAATGGGCTGCTTTTAATGTAGTTCAAGCAAGTATCCGAAGGAAGTGACTTCGACATATAGATTAATAATGGCAGTAGCCTTATTTACATTATCATTACACATGGCTATTAAGTTCTTCATTAAATTATCCAACACAAAAATCATCAATTAAAAGCCAAGCAACGACATGAGACAAAACGTTTTCTTTCCTTTTAGAGAAGAAAATTATAAACCCATACAAATAAATTAAAATGATTACAATTCCACTGCCATTGATTTCAAAATGATGCTTTCAAATTCGAAAGCCAGTCTGATCAATCAGGTTTTGCGAACAGTGCAGTTTGTGGTTCTGGCTGGAGATTAGGCTGGTTCAGCACATGAGAATTCATTCATGTGAGTGAAAAAAAAAGAAATAAATAGGCAGAGGTATTGATCTCCTTGAGAGATTTCTCCTTTTTTAAAAGTCAATAGACATTGATCGCTGTACTGCATCATTATTTCTGCTGCCTCGCACATAGATTTCACAGGGAATCTCTTCCATCACCCTGTCTTCTATGACTTGTTCAGCACAGTCGTGAGTCTGTTTGTAGCCATAGCAGCTTTTCTTGAAGGTGCTGTTGAAGGTCTTCATGGGTTGGGGTTGGGAGAAGTCATTGCGGTAAGGGAGCTCCATGGAGCTGAGATTGGTACGACTCTGCTTGATGCTGGAGGGCTGGGATCCACAGTGGTGATCGTGGATGCATCGCGAGGCAGTGGAAGACCTCCTCATCTTGTGGTAGTTCTCGAGCTCCTCAGACAGATCGGCCAGATCAGAAGAGATCTCTTTGTCCCTCAGGGAAAAGAGTTCGTAATGAGGTGGGTCGAACACCTCTTGGAATCCCGCCTTGTTGAACATCGGTTTCCGAGCGACCACCTTCTTGCGAGGCTGCTTCAGCTGAACCAAGATGGAAACGATCAGCAGCACCAGGACAATACCAGATGACACACCGATGATGGTGCCGTGTGTTTTTGTGATCTGGTGAAACAGGCTGCTGGACTTTTTCTCTAGAAAAAAACCATCAAGGAAGAAAACAAGAAATTCATACAATGCATGACCAATTCGAATCATGATGTTATTATGAACGAAATGGGGGTTGCCAAAAGCAATGCTTCAACAAATGGCTTCCTCATTGGGAAATAAATAAAATAAATAAATAGAATATGTCTCTGACCCGCTTGACTAAAATTGTATCTGTGATCCAAAGAGACTGTGTATTATAACTCACATGATCTTAATGGCTGTTTTGGAATGCTAATACTAGAGTGTTTTACAGCAGCCACTGCTGTCATATTGTGTTTTGGGAGTGTATAACAGTTTTACTAGAAAACTAACCCTTGCAGTAGTTTTCATCCCAGGGATAAACACAGTTTTGAATTCCATTGCAAACTAGAGAATTATTGATGCACATGTTGCTGTGGCAGAAAAACATATTGCTGGAACAAGGAGCTGAAAGAGAGCACAAAGACATAAAAATTAGCACTGGCTCAAAAGCGTTTTTTGGCACATCATTTTTTTTCACACAGCCAGCAGACATTCACAGTCGATTTATAAAAAGGTAAATAATACCACAATTGAGCGGAGTGCAGTGCAGTGAGTCGGCAGCAACATTCTGGTAAGCTGCAAACTAGGATACATGGATGACAAGGTTCAAAGGTTGTCAAACAACCTTCTTAGTATTAAGGTCATGAGACTGGATAGGGGAAGGTAATTGAATGTGGCTGAAGTCAGGAAATAAAATTAATTTTAGAAGTCTGAACTAAGGCCTCAACAGACATTTTCATGCATCACAAAATTCCTTATAAGTGGAACATCTAACCTACATGCTACCCATCAGATCCTAACTACACATGGCTGAGCAGGACATCAGTCAGTCATGTAGATTGTATTAAGGTGCAGACTGACAACACGTCCTGCACTGAAGTCCTAAACTGTTCTGACAGTTGAATGAAGGCTCACAATGTAGCTTCTGAGCCTGCTTAACAGCAGGCTACGACATGTTGATTGCAGCTCCTAGATTTTACACTCTTTCCAGACACATATTGAACTTTATTAATCTTTAGAACATTTGGAAGTATCTCATTGTCTTTTTGGCTGCATGGAAATGATTTCTAATGGGTATTTTAAGATTACGTATTTCACACATGTCTAATATAGTGAATTGTAAAAAAAAGAAAACTATGTTATATTATTTTAGGGAGAAAGAACAGCAAAAATGACCAGAAAGGCAAAAACAGACAGAAATGTCCAAGAAAAGCAAGGAAAGTGCAAGCATTATTTATCTTGTAATAATTGAAGGATGAATGTGGAAATTCATAATAATAATAACCCATAAATCAGAAAGGTAAAAAATCAATACACACAATATCTTCCAACATATAAAGTAGATTGATCTATTCTTTAGGCCTTAACATGGTTAAAGTGACAATGGATAAGACAGAACAGATTATTTTTTCACTGTGTAAAGGCAGGTTTTCAATATCACATATGAAGACAAAACAGTCTGGAGATTTTAACTAAAGAAATTACCACAGCAGACGCCAACCTTTTCAAGGCAACACTAAACCATTATTTTGTGAGCAAAGACTGACCGTGAATACTTTGCAGTTTAAAGATGCCCTGTCTGAAGATGTTATTATCAAGGGATTTAAGGCAAACAAGGATAAGGATTGTGGATAGGCAGGTACTTCAAATTAAGCAATGGGAAGACAGCAGTGCAGCAGGAGGCCCTGTTCTCTGAGTGTAAGAATGGCCTTCATTTTACCATGTAGTCTGCTTTCTTGTATCTTTATAGACTAATATGTTTTACTCATTACTCAGAATAAAGCACCATTGTGAAATAACTTTATGTATTCTGTGGGTAGAAGAATACTGAAGGACAGTGATTATTTTTTCAAGTCAGCCCATTTGTGGCAATGGCTATGTATTTTTGGGATTGCTCTGTACCTGGTTCCTTGAAAATACTATATAATGTTGTACAATGTTGTCTCACATCATTGTTGTTTCTATTACATCTTTATGACAGTTGTTAATATTCCTTTCCTTTCATACTGCAGTTCTTTGAGCCAGTGGAATACTTCAAGACCACACGTTTTATTATGTATTCTGTAACAAGGTATTTAAACCAAACACCACAGATTAAATGTCTGTGAGTAGAGATTATACAAAAACTGTTATCTTATACCTTGAAGAAGTCTAATTATGCATACAGTATAAATATATTGTAACACTTTGGGGTTCACGTGGGCGCCCTCGCCGCTGCTGCATCAGGTCGGCCCCCCACCGTTGGGGACCCGGGCCTCCAACGTCACTCAACAGGGACCCAGCCTCTTGAGCCAAAAGGAAATCTCCCAGCAGCCCAGCGGCTGCAGTCCCTGCTATTCACAGGGAAGGGCGGTGAGGTCACCGCTCTGGTAAGCCAGCTCTCGCAAGCAATGGAGGCCGTATGCGTTACACTATATTAAATTGGTTTACCATATAAAACCCTTTAGTAGGTGGTTTGTGCTATAGGTGGACTATTCCCAAATAACCTACAATGAGCCAGAAGGAAGGAGAAAGTTTTTTATTTAATTTAACCTCTCCTTTAAGTCAAATGATTCATGTTAAGTTCTTGTAATGATATATTTAAATTGATTCTGAGTATTACTGGGAGCCTTTAGAATCAGTCGCTTATATTTCTACCTGTATATACTGTATTTCATCAGTAATATTCCTATTAAATGTTACGTGGGGTACCAGGAGACCTAAAATTAGTTTCCTGTCTTCAACAAGTAACTCTACAGCTTTCATTAGAAACCCCATGTTATTAGGAAAAAGGTATTATTCACCAACACCCATAATGAGCACTTGTTATCATTTTACTTGGTAATTCAACTCAGGGAGAGAAATAATTGGCTTTTCAATGCCAGGCGCATGTAAGCAACTGCTGTAATTAACTTTTTATTTTCTAATGAGAAGTGGATGGTAGCATAACATCAGGGATTCCAAGTCCAATGAAATAAAAATAAATCCAAACAAAACAAGGAAAAAAATTAATATATTGCCTTGTCTTCTAGGCCTTTTGTTATGCGGCAGTATTAACCTGTATATAAATACACCATGAGGGTGTCCTTGGCAGCTTGCAGAGCTACAAATTAACATTTTAATCATAAATCCTAAAATTACATTACAAATCCCATAAAGGTATTGACTCAACCAACGAAACAGAATGAAGTATGAAGGATAAACAACACATCATCATATTTCAGTCTGAAAGAAAAGAAGAAGGAGGCTACAGATTCCAATATTTGTAATTTACAGCCAGTACGCTGAATTCCAATTGCTATTTTTTTATTTTATTGGGTTCAGCTCTCCCCAGTGTATGCAACCCAGTTCCCAAAGATATGCAGCATGTGATTTAGATTTCAATCTTAGGAGCTATTTCAAATAAAACTGTCCTACTTTCTTCAATACTGCATAGGAAAAGCATGTATTAACGATAGTGCACATCTGTTTACATTGAACCTTCGTGGTTTCACCCATCTTTACGTCATCAATCTTAACTGAACATTGTTCATTTTTCTCACCAAATGAATCGGTAGTGTAGACGTTTCTAGAAAAAACGGGTGTTGTGCTGTCAAAGACAAAAAGGATGGAAAGCACGGAAGACGGCCGCTGCTTACGGTCGATGAAGGAAGTGAAGAGCATTCGGAAGCGGCTGAGGCGACTGGTCTCATCGGCCCACATGCGCACCACCCCGACCCCCGTCTCCAGCATGATGTCGTTGGCAACCGTGCTGCAGAACTTGGCCTTCAGGTTTTCTATGGCACTACTTCCATCGTAAACAGCCACAAAATTCTTCTTGCACTCGTTGGAGTTCTCCATTTGGTAATCAAGAAACCTCAGGTAAATCTGTGAAGGTTATGACATGACTTCAAATGGCTGCTCTGGAATGACACACTGCCATCGCGTCAGATTCAAGTCAAGAACTCTACTGCTAACTGTGGCATTTAAAACAGGCTACTTGATAATTATATTTTTAGTGTACAAACACAAGTATATAAGTCTGAAAGGGTGGTATGAAACCAAAGCAGTTTCATCATTTAGATGGAACTGAAATCCCTGAGCACTGCACAATTGCGAGATTCAGAACATCAGGACAGCACAGACTGTTTGGAGAGAACCCTTTGCCAAAAGAATTCTTTTAAAAAACACACAATGGAAGAAGAAAGAAAATAAAGCACAGTACTTAATTTGAGACTACAGTGTCCCTTATTTGATTGATTAAGGTTGGCTATCATTTCACTTCTGTCTTTAGTAAATATTTAATAGGAAAGTAAATCTAAATAGGTTCCTACAATTGCTTACTTATTGTAACAATTCAACATTCATTGGAAATGTATTTCTCTTCCCCTGCTGAACTGGTGAGTTACAAATCTAAACATTCCTGTTGTGTCGGTAGCCAAAGCTTTCTCGTTAAAACAACCTCAAGATATACAGAAGTAAATGTTTAATGCTATTTAAGAAATTAAGTTTCCTCTGAGACAAAACCATTCAAAAGAAAAAATCAAGCTACGATAACATCTTCATATGTCCCTTAGATAGGATTACTGAAATCCCACACTGAGCCTGCTACTACATTTCAAATGCATTTTGCAGTAACACACAAAAATATCTCTTTGGTGAAGACCGAGTGTACTCTTTATAACCTTTGGCTCCATACACACCTTTGATTTGGGGGGGGCTCGTACTGTCCAAATGCAGTCGACAGCTTGGCCTGGCTTTATTTTCTCATCCTGCTCAACTTGACTGGAGCGAATGAGTCCATCAGCGCCAGTGAGCTCGAACTGGCAATCTGGAGAAACAGACAGCCTGTAGCCAGTGCCAGAACAAAGAATGGCTTAAAGTTTAATGACAGAAAGTACTAAAATATTGAAGACCCAACCTGGAATTGGATTTAAGATTCCTCCCACATAATGGAAATCTGGATCTACAGTGAAAGAAGGAGAGAAAAAGTTAATTTAGAAAAAAGAAATAAACACAAAGCAAAGCCATTGTGATTTTTGCTTTAGTAGCACAAGTACAGTAGATAGGGTATCCTGATCTTGAACAGGGTTTGCATATTCAGTACTGTGAAAAAACAAAAACATGAAGGCCATCAAACATGCATGCTGGCAGTTTAAATAAAATACATTATATTTTATATAAATGCAAGATCAGAATGACAAAAATCAATCCATATAAGTGTCTCTTAAGGTCTATGCATCTATGTATTTTGTGTATCTCATCTTAAAAAGTCTTATGTCATTGGCACAATACTTAAAGACACACTGGATAAAACTGATTTAAAAAATCTGAAACCATCAGAAACATCATCATTAAGAAAAAGTAAACCAAACTATATTTCAAGGAGAATTTCTTTCACAGTAATTTCAGAAAATCTTCAATAATATTGGTATTAAAAGTACGCTAAGATCCATTGGTGCTTACTTCCGTTAAGGTATTCGCATTGCTGCAGACTGTGACACCACCGGTCTCAAAGCCTTACAGCTGAGGTAAAAATATTACACTGCTCAAAACAAGGAAAATGGTGAAGACTCCAGCCCTGAAGATGACCGTGTACCTGGTATAAATGCATATTTGATCCGAAAGCCCAGGCCTTCCAACTCTTCGTCGGTAGTGAATTTTATCCACATGAACCTGCCCGTTGACGTAATCACATCAGGACTTTTGGAGCCACAGTATCGGTCAATGAGGGGAGAGAAACCAAAAGGACCATCCCGAACTTCCAGATGGTCAAAGCGGCACTCAAAAGAAGGCTCAATATAATAGGGTTCATCAAAGGTCAACTCGATTCTTTGACGTGGATCAGCTGCCCAACGGAACAAAAAACAAAACAAAACAACGATATAAAAATTGGTGTCACACCTTAGTAACCTTCTATCTTAAAATCCAAAGGACTTGGAGTACCGCTGAGCTTGTTTCTGGACATGCATACAACGATATCCTTCATAGTTGGATTCTTGTAAAATTTAAATGATTTTAATTAAATTGAATCCAAATGTGTCAATCCATCTTACTCTATATTATACTTACAGTTCTCAGTCTTTTTATTGATGCAACATTTTAATTTTTTTTCTCCTCCACAGAGTTTAAATAGCATGAGGTAGGTTGAGGCGACAATGACATATTAGTACCAGATATTATAAGCAGCAAGATCTATTAGTCATTATAAATACAGCTTCTTCAAAATCAAAGAAAATGTAGAAAGAAAGACAATATCATGGCGTTCTCTTTCTTCAAACAAATGGATTACATGGATTTAGGAAAATGCCTCACAAGCATCAAGCCCAGAGAATATTTTAACGAGAGGCCAAGACAGAAGCAAAGGTCAAATCTGGCCTTCAGCTTTGAACTTCGAAAAGCTTTCAGCTGTTTCCTTTCTACAGAACTGGTGAAAGAAAAAAAAAACTATCCTTTCCTTAACATTACTGTCCTAAGTAATTAAGTTGTGAAAATCATTGCAAAGCAAATTCATAAAAATTGGAAAAGTGTTTTCTTGGCAAGAGGGTTGATTAGTTTATTCAAATGGCTCACTAACATTACAAAAATAAAAAGATGAAAGCAAGAGTCTTGATGAAGTTATACTTTTTTGCTTCTGCAGGGGAAAATAAATGTAGTCTTTTCCCTGCTATACCTGAGGTAATCATGCTGAAGACAGTATGGCCTGACAGAAACATCTGCAGATCTGCTACAACCGGACAGCATTATAAACTACAAAACAAAGAGAATGATTGCCATGTTCTATCATCAATGCTGTCGTTGCATGTCAGACTTTTCTCAGTTTTACATATGATAGTTCTCATCTGAACTGACAACTATTGAGTGAAGAGAATTCTCAAAGATGTATGATCCGCCTTTAATAGAATAACCCATGGATCACACTGCATGAGACAACCTAAGACCCTTTATATTAAAATCATCTTATTTATTGAATTAATCTTATTTACAGTATAGTGAATGATGAATCATGCGAATGGCACTGAGGCTAGTATTATGTTACTGTTGTCCCTTCCTGTGGCAAATCTATTAAGTGTTGAAATAAATATTTGAAATGCTGCATTTGCATTTCTATATAGCTTGTGTTACATGTGGTGCTCTTGATAGTATGCCTAACAAAGTAAGGGTTAGAGAAAGCATTAAACATCTTTATGTTAAAAACTAGGTCTTCCTGGACACTTGTGAAACAAATTTAGGACTTAAAAAAGTTAAAGATTCTAAGCCTGCCTTATTTAATTTGGCAGAACAATAGCTATCTGACGTACCTTCCAAAATGTAAACACATTCCTTGTTCGGTGGGTAGGTGCTAGGGTAGTTAGGAGAGGTAAAGAATCCTCCATTGTGATTTCGAATCCATAGTCCACACTGAGCTGAAGTCTTAGGCTTTGCACCGACATTTTGGACCTCTGAAGAAGTCAGAATAAAAAAATACTTGAATGCATAAATATATTATATATATGCAAATAACATGGTAAATATAAGCTTGGAATAATGTTTCTTCACATATCACATACTGTGCTTATTCAATACATTTTCCTTTAGAATAAAAGCTGTGTACATGCCATAAGCCTTAAAGACAAGCAATGAAAATATTGCCTATGTGAGATTCTGAAAACATATTCACCATTAGACACATACTGTACTGTATTAATGTAACAAGTTTCTACACCAGCAAAAAGAGGGAAAAAAAAACTTGCTAAAAAGTATTTGTATAGATGTTTCATGGCTGTAAATGATTTTTAAATTGTCTGTACATGCTTGCAGACAGAAATACTGTAATCTCATATTGTCTGATATGCACAAGCACTGGATTCTACAGTGATTTATTCAGGCACCCTTCTGAAACACCATCTCCCTCCAAAATGTGCAAAATACATGCAGTACCAAATAAATTCTAACAAAGCAAGTAATGTTAATAACAAAATGAAAACTACCTTTTGTTTTCTGTGCCAAAGCAAATCCTTCTTCAATCAGAACGAGTAGAACCAAGGCTGTCACAAATGATAAGAAAAAGATTTACATATTTTACCTTCACAAATTTAGTTCGCTGTTGTTAAACACTTGGAATGTACTCATCTGAAAAAAAAAATCACTAGTCCTACTACAGAAGATTCCACAGTGTTACAGGAAAACATTCTCCTGAATAGCAATGGCCACTTTCTGTATGTACAAAGTTTAAAAGATATGGCGATTGTCCGTTCTATAACATATTAATGAAAAATCACCATAAGGTAGTAAGGTAAAATCTGTATTCAAACTCATAATCTAAAATACTTACTGTCTTTTAAAAACATTTCAGCTAATACAAACAATTCCATATTTTGAAATTGTGTACTAAAGTATATAAACTGTGTAATTTTCCAGCTGCTTTTCCTTTATTTATCACGAGAACAGCATACTCACTCCGGAAAAAAAGGTGGAACCTCTACCAAAATAAACACTTTGAATCTTCTAAGGACTTCAACATGGAAAACTGGACTTTTTCCCTTATAAAATATGATTTCAATTAAATGTCTTACAATGAAAAGCTTAATAAAGGGGCAAACAAATTTACCTTGGCGTGCTATGTTTGAACCAAAGTAAAATGAAATGAAGCACCATTAAATACTGGTAGATAAGGATGGAGAGATATGCTAGCATCATTCAGATCACGGCAAATCATAGTAAAGTCAATTGTACAGAACCAGCGGTAAAATGGAGAACACTGCGATTTTGCTACAGTAAACCCTCATAAGGGTTTGTATGTAAATCCGAAGGCATTCACTGAATGTGACAAATAATGAACACATTTTGGTCATTTCTGAAATTCCCCCTTTCAGGTAACATTGCTAACCTTTTGAGAACCTGATAATTATATATACTTTTAGTACTAGTAATATTCGCAATACGTTACAAAGCTGTAATATCTTGTGCGACAAAAGCATTCAACTGAATGAAAAAAGGCAAAATTCATTTTTATGTTCGCGACAACAGATCACTCTGAAAAAAATGTTTCTATGTTAATTTAATCTTAAATTGGAAAAATATAGAACGCAAACGTTTTAAGAAATGTTTCTAGACCTGCAAAGAAAAGAACTATGCGATATATTTTCAATTGGCTACTTCAATTTCGGCTTCACGCGTTCGAAGTGTAATAACGGGACACGTCGGGCGGCAGGTGGCAGCACAATCTGAATTTGAAAACTGAACATCCTCAGCCTTTTAACAAGGAAAATATGCTGAAGGAATGAAACTGCTCTTGGATTTTACCGGTTATCAAGGAGCAGCTATGCATCTAATCCATTGACTTGATAAAGATGACACTGGAACAGATGAGATTTCTTGTAGGCTTGTAGTAGCCCAATTACAACCGGGCAGGAGAAATACAGCATCACTATTAACACCATGCTAACTCTAACTTCAATTTTTAACACTGTTTTTATCCCATAACCTGACTCATCCAAAAGGGCTTTATATAGACAGTATTGTTTACATCACTCAACTCAAAACTGAGTGAGATTACGTGAATATGACAAAACGCAAATACTCCACCAAACATTATGGAAGGAAATGAGCATGAGATTTGAATATGCAACTGTTCTACAGAAAAGAAATATCAGAATTTACCTTCATTCAGATATTGTAAGAAATACGTGAAGGAATGTTAGAATATGGAATAACTATGGTAGTTGGGTAGTCAATAACTACCAAACGAGCTATAACCTTCCTTACGTTATGAGGGAAAATTATGTTGCAAAAAGGTTCTGAGGGGGTGTCTCTCTGCAGATGTACTACGATCTCTGCAGCCGTTATGCATCAATATTGTATCCACTACACTTGGGAGACAGTTTAAGATAGAATTATGATTTTAGATAATAATTTAAGGGTACAATTAACAACTGCTGTATATTAGAATGAGCACGATTGACAGTATGCACTGAAAATAATTAATCTTATACTTGTCTAAAAGCATGAGATATGTACATACGCTGTCACTACACTAGTAATACCATTATGTACAGGTGTTGATTAAGCCCCTGTTAACTTTATTAATAAAAGTAGAATATCTTTTTAAAATACAAAAATACCTATAGAGACATTACAGTTTTGGTTTTCGTATTAGGAAACATCTAACGTTTCTAAGGAAAGTAGCACAACATATTGTATTTTCTTTGAGTTAGAAAAAACTTAAAAATTATAGGGTTCATCATCTTCTTTCCGAGCTTCTAAAACAAGAAACGTCTTTAATTAAAAAGGATTAAAAACGTTATTTGCACAATTCATACAGTAAGTATATCTTCATATTTTTCACAAAAATGTACTGATTGCTGAAAATCGACATATTAAAGACATTATATTAAGTATCATTATGTCATAGACGAAATTTCCTGGTATTTGGGGACACCAAACTCATTTTCTTCTATGTGGTCTCATGTTCATGTAATAAATCATTCGGTTGCAATATGCAACAATAAATCAGCTTGAAGAACTGCATCAGCACTATTGTCAAAGAACGCATTTCTTTCAAAACTATTACTAATAGTGTCATTGTGTTCAAACACCCATCAGAATTCATACCTAACACAAGCCTAAAAAGAGAAAACCCGCGACTGTGAATAATAATACCATTAAAAAAGCTAGATGAACAGAGTTTAAGTGTTTTTTGTAGAAAGCCAACTAGCAAAACACTGTAATCCGCAGATTTAGTGCAGTCAATTGATCTCTTTTGGATCAATGTCATGATTTACACAGGCCCACATTAGCAACCTTTCCTGAAAAAATAATTGCAGAATCCCAACTGTACTCCTTCACTCTGGAGGTTATTCATAAAAATGTTTATAGGGGCGGTGTGATAGTACTACTATCAGATAGTCCTTGCAAATGAAGAATGGTATACTATAAAATAGTTTTTATACCACCTTCCCTTTCCTTGTAATGCAACCACCCGCAACGTATTTAAAATGATGAAAGATCTTTAAGCAAAAATACATAAAAATAGAAAAACATTGATCCCAACACCCACACCGTACAGTACTTGAAAAATAACTTAACATGAACGTAAAAAATGAATAGAAATAGAAACCAATTTACAAAAATTTCGAAAACGTTTACTTTCATTAGAAAACAGCAATACAGTTTTAGTCGTGTTAAGTCTGGGCGACGCTTAAGTTCGACCTTATAACTACATTTCTGCCGTGGGTTAAAGGGTAATTATCGAATTGTGATTCCAAATCTGTATCCAACAGAGATTACTTAGAAGTACTGTATTTTTCTAGCGTCACCGAGTAGGGGTGTCTTTCGTTAACAAGGTAACAAATGACCTTTTCATGTTTTTCTGACAGCAGTCAAAATAGTGCTCATAGTGCTATGCTGGTCTTGTCGGTTGCACAAACCAACACTTTTAAATTAGTGGTACAATTTTCAGTTATTTGATGACGGATTTGAATTTGTGTAAAATTAATTACAGTGTAGACGCAGGTTTCATCTTAATTCTCGTGATTTTTGACAACTGGAATTTAGTACTGTAGGTAGAAACAATAAATATATCTGACAAACAAGGGGCTCCGGGGCTGGAAGGAGTCGTAAGATGGGGATTCCTTTTCCAGATGTGACACTACAAATCGGGAGCTGTCACTTCAGCACCTTCTATGAATAGCGGCAGGTTTTAAGAAGTGTGAATAATTTACACTTTTTACTTTGCCTTTTGAATCATCTGGAAACAAATAGTTTTGCATGTTATAGGATATATTCGTTCGTAAAACAATACAACCACATAAACCAAAATGTATCCAGGAGATTAAATACTGAAACGGGCTACGAAACGACCGCTTCTACCTGGAAATATTGAATAATTTGATATTGAATAATTTAGTCTTTTGAAAGTCATGAAATTCTTTAATTAAAAAACTGTATAGTTGAAATTCGAAATGCCACCTTGTGTCTGTCCTGAAGATGGCGATGTTATTCTGAGTTTGAAGAACAAAAAGCGGTTTCTAAGTGCAGACTAACTTAACCATTTAGTAATTAAAATTATACTTTCAGTTAAATACTATCTTCATCAATTAGTGTAATTCATGTTTTGTTTTGTTAAAACAATAACATTTTGATTTATATTAAACTATACAACACACAAACAGGCAAAAATGAGTATTTTATCGTACTATTATATACGAGGCGCCTGGTCGTCAATAAACCCTTTGTATTCAACAGAGAACAGAGCCATTGAAATTCTCTGTTCTTTCACCAAACTTACCTCCGTGCATTTCCCCTCTTTGATTAATTCTGTATGTTCTTTTTCTTTAGTTTTCGGAGTAGCCTTGCTTTTCCATTTTGTGAAACCAAAGCGTAGAGTCACTCGTACACAATCCAAACTTCTTCAATCGCTTTAATCCCATCGCCCCATGCAAGGAGAGACTAATAGGAATTCCCTCCGGAAACCACCCCAAGAGCTTCAACACCCTCCCAAAATGCGTGGTGCCCAGTCCTTAATCCCATTAAGATAGGTATTGGATATTTCCAAAGGCATTCAATACTCCAGTTGAAAAGAAAGCGAAAAGTCTGTCAAAGACAGAGAGAAGACGGACAAACAATAGCGAGCGCGCTTGGTTCTCCCGGCAGAAATGAAATGTTGGAAATAAATGAAGCTCATTTAAGATCTGGGCGCTGTTTGCCTGAATGAGCAGCTTGTACGCATGCACCCCCTCACCGAGTGAACAATCCAACTGCAGGCACACTCCCCCTGTACTATGGGATTGTGCTATGAGGAAAAAAAGGCAAATAAGTAGCAGAGTCTCCACGTCAGTATGTTCTTCTGTGTGGAAGACACTGATTTTCAGTTCCTGGACTGTTTTGCATTCACACGTGTGTTGAACGTTTGAGCAGTCTGCCCAAAGCGTACTCATGTACATGTGTCCGGGAAATAATGTTTTATAACGTTGCATATGGTGTTTCATTTATCGCAGCTAAACAGATGCATAAATAGCTACTGTAGCATGGCCGTTTTTAAAAATGTAGTTTAAAGACAAAAACAGAAAAATACACTAACAAGGAAACGTCCCAATTCCATATTGATCTACGATTCTGCGGTTTGAAAGACATCACTTCTCAAACCATGCCCAGGCAAAACTGCTTAAGATGCACTGAAATATTTTTTCAATCACTATAAAAAGCTATGAACTGTGAAACACCAAATTATACAATATATAAAAAGCTTTTGTATACATTTTGGTGTACCTAACAAGATTTTGATATCTCAAGGTACATTGTATAGTAAATTGTACAACATGTACAATGTATATTATATCCAAAAATGCTTCATAATAACTAAAACAATGTTAACTCATTCATTTGAATCAATAAATGTATGCTAGCTTAATTTTTTATATTTTGTATTCAATAATTTTGTTTAAAATGAAAATAGATGTCATACACCAGTTTTGAAACATTTTAATGATTAATTTCACTAACAATTACCTTTAACACAAACATTTCTGAATTAACCGTTTTTACATTGTATTTCACAGAAAACTGACAATATCAGGTGCAAATTAAAGTGGAACAAAAACTAGCAAAACTTTCAAAACCGTAATTTAATGTAGTGATTTTACTAACACATATGGTGTAGACAGCTGAGAGTTCTGACACAATCTCAATGAATTATGCAGTTTGTATAATGATTCAGTGTGAAGTATTTCATGAGCTCTTTCCAGTTGATGGTAAGTAGATTAAACATTACAAAAGTGCACAAAACAGCTATTAAACATAGCATTTATATGTAAACATTTAGTAACAGAATGAATCAAGATTGTTAAATAAAATATCAATAAATGCAATACTAATTTAAGGAGTGTTCAATTAAATTCAAGGTAAGAATTAAATCATTAATTAATATTTTTGGGCTCCACTGAAAATAATTCAGATGTTCTTTCCTCTGTTTCAAACGTGATGCAAAAGCTTCTCAAATGTGATCATTTCTAATCAATTGTTAAATCTAACAATATTTTATTTGGAAAACCAACATCTCTGGCTCTTGTTTGAAATGGAAAATTCTAACAACAGTTTTTCTTAATTTACAGCACCCACTTTAAATTTCACTAAACAAGAAGTGAGTGAGAGGTGTTAATGATGACAAGTACCTTCCAATAACACTGCCTAAGCAGGTCCTCTTTCTCATATTTGAGATCAGCATTTCCAGATGATCCTAGCTGTGCTTCAGCCCACGCCAGTTGAAAAGATTTATAGGTGGTATGCTGAATTAAAATCGCTTTTGCTATTTTGTTCCCTGTTCCATGGTATAGGAATGTGCAGGAAACTGTTCTGAAACATCTTGGCTCCTTATCAAGATCATCAGACTAGTCTGTCTTTGGATGTACAGGTTACAATATATGCTATGGGTTGCATCTCTAATATCCATCAAACTGTTTTCGACAGAATATACTTATTGCATAAAATCTCAGCTTTTAACAAAAATTTTGAAAAGAAAGTTTAAACATACAGTGTAAGCCACTTTATAAAGAAGTTACTTCTACTGCTCTAATAAGCTGTAAAACATTTCCACACATTTGAGACTTTCATCACAACAGTCAAAGGGTAAGATAAAAAAAGTACACAGTTTTGGCACCCAAGAAAATATCATCATAAAATCAAAGAGGAGTTTGCAGTACCGCTAAATTACTAGAAATTTTAGTTGGGTGTCCTTCTCCTTTCAGTGTACAGTTCAATTACAGTAGTTGAAAAACCTGCTGCTGAAAATCGGCTTGGCAAACAAAGATTGAGACGTGCTAGCAAAAGTCAAAAGTAGTTACCTTACAAATGAAGTGATCGACACCAATATAGCATGGATGAGTGCAACACAATCACATTCACAATATCTCAGGCAACCTGCCATGCTGACTGTCCAGTTAAACAGGGTAAGCACTGGAGTATATAAAGTTCTAATTAAATCAATATTCAATTAAACAAACAAATTACAGTATATACAAACACCGGTAATGCCATAATCTTATTTACAAGAATGATACAAAATGTAATTAAAAAGCACATATTAACCTTGCAATGACAGATCATAAATAATTTCAGATTAATTTTGCCAGTTACCTGATTTTTAAGTAAACATTTTTTAGTATAACCTGACTGACAAAACTCAGCAAATTCTAAATAGTTATGAGTAGAATTATGGAATAAGAACAGCACAGCATTTCAAAATATATCGCTGAAAAGCACAGAGCAAGACTTTCAAATGCTTTTAACTGCAGTGCAAAATGTATCCCACTTTCCTAACTTAAAACAAAGTCAACCCAAATCAAATAAAAAATATAATAATACCCACCACATTTTTATACTACAAGCATAAATTCTGAGTTAATCCCAAGAATTCTCAGACCCAAAATTACATTCTGCCCTACTTAAAGGTTTGTGTTAATTCTAAATTGTTTATGCTAGGAATGGAAAGAATGACTTAACAAAACCTCCTATCTTTAGTCAGAAAAACAAACAAACAAATAAATCAAGTATAAAACTGCACAGTGTGCTCTGTCCTGCCGATTTAACCATCCATATTAAAGGTTCAGATACACCTCAATTCCCTTTAATTGCAATGTTTAAAGCAGCCAGCAAACAAATTAAATACTTTGGGTTAACAAATAGCAATAGATGATCGTACTCTTGAAATTGCTCATTTCAAAGTCAACCTCCCAGATTGCATCTGAGCTTATCAAACAGCAAGACGTTTTTAGCAGTATCTTCCCTTTTGATTTTTTCACATGGCATCAAAATGGAACCTGTGAGCTTCCTGTCGTTTCTCCCTATCATCTGCCTTCTGCAAGAAAGAAAAAGACAGAATTAGTGGAAGTCTTCATACAAGTCTGAAAGTTTCTTAATTTACCTTTTTGGAGTGATCAGTTTATTTAATTTAGTTTTCCTCAAGAAAAATGTTCAGATTGATTTTTATTTACATTTGTGACCTTGAAACGTAATTTCACAGTCACATCAAAAAGGAATAATTATTGAAGAACAAAGGCACCTATATAAGTTTTGATATTAAATGGAACACAATGTGAAAAAAATCATCACACTCCGTTTGCAAAAGCCATCTTGATCAGAGGGCCGAACAAACAGGCAAAGAGCGGCAAGCTCAACATCACTCTTATGTTATCTTCTCGGTTCAACTGCCTACCCCTGTAATGCAAGAACTGCCTATTCATCATTACCTCCTGCATGACAAGCTGAAAATAATTGTCCTGATAAAATGACTTGAATGCATTTTGTGGCTAAATGGTTGTGTCACAAAGATTTCACTAGATTCAAGAAAATCCTTGAAAGGTCTCCTTGTCTAGGGGGTCTCAGCTTTTAAAATGGACTTCAACCTTCATAGCTGGGTGTGCCTAAAACTAGCTGAGAGGATTCATCTGATTTCTTCTGTTAGACTCATAAATACTGAAGTCTAAATAATGCCAAGCAAGTTAAGACTGACACTTAGGGGGTAACCTGTACTAATTTACCCTTCTGGCAGATGGGAGTGAGGAGCAGGTGTTGTATGATTACCCTCTTACACATGGAGAAAGGATGTGGAAAGCAAAGTCTGTCCACAGGCAGGGAAGCTTTTCTGAAACCCAGCTCAAATGTTAAGATGTGCCGAATGTGGGATGAATTTTTTATTAAATCAGTGAGAGCAATGGTGAATTGACTGTACCATTGTAGCAGTACACCTTTTATATAAAATGAATACTGTACCTTTTTTCTGATTTCTGTTAGCCTATTGTTATTCATTTAAAATTTTATGTTCAGAATTATTATTTTTTATTTTCTGTCCCTTCTCTTTTTTGGGTACAAAATAAAAGATGATCAGAAAAAAATATTCACAGTGGGAAGCAATGAACATGACACATCAGAGCACTATTTCAACTTCCCAGATAAATGACCCTTTCAGAGAGTGCCTGTCCTTGAGCTTTTTTCAATGCTCTAAAGCTATTTTCTCTTTAGAATGTTGATGCAAGGTTCCTTTCCATCTTTTTCAAGTACAGAATTAGCTCTGTGCACCTGGTTTTAATTGTCAGAAGAAGGACCATAAACCCAGGGCTGTGCTGGGTCTCCCAGCTCTCTCCTGCCTTTCTTGATAAATCTTGCATTCCTATTTTTCTGTCTTGGTAAGCTGCTGTAATGCATTTACCGCCATTTCAAGTGCAGCCAGCAGTCCTTTATTGCTACCAAACATTTCTCACAGGGGATTCTTCTGTTTGTGTGTCTTATGGCTCTTCTCTCTTTGTTGGGAAGGTGCTGGTTAACTGTATTTGTGTTTTCTTTTTCATTTGTCTAGGGAGAGGAATTTGTAAATAGGAGTGGGGGAATTAAATTATATTAAAATAGTTTCTTTGCTGTGATAATCAATAGACAAAGTCTAGTTAAAACAACTGTTTTTTTAAGTTAATAATGTCACATTTGAATCCTTCTTTGATATTATACATTTGGAACAATCTAAACTCTACAATTAAGTTAGTTTGGAGATTGATAAACTAACTTGAATCTTGAACACCAGAGAAAAACAACAACTTTTTTGTTTTTATTCTGGACCTGTGTAATATATTTTCCAAAACATGCAGAAACCTCAAGAGGTATGTTATATGAGATATACACAGCAAAACAAATTTATAACGGAGCTTCCTATTTTTAAGCAAGACCTTACGTCCTCTCCAAAATGACTAAAAAATAGTTTATCCATTCCACTTCTTCTAATTCAGGGTCACAGGGGATCCCATGTTTATCCCATTAAACAAAGGGTGCAAAACAGGGTACAGCCTGTACAGGACAGCAGTCAATCACAGGGCACATACAGACACAAACACAGACACTCACACCTAGGGCCAGTGTTCCCAGAGGCCAACTAACCTACCAGTATGTTTCTTTGAGAAAACTGGAGCACCCAGAGGAAACCCACATGAACACAGAGAGAAATACTGACAGTATCATGGGTCAGGAATTGAAATCAGGAACCCAGCACTGCGATACTAATCCCTTTGCGACTGTGTCTCCTAAACATCAGTTTATGAAAAATTAAGAAATGTGCTGCCCTGAAAACAGATTCAATTATAATACAGTCAATAAAATTATTTCATTTTAAGAATTTAAAAACCTAAAAAAATATTTAAGTATTTGGGGAATATATCTTTAGTAGAATTTGTGTTTAACAATGATTCTTCCTGGTGGTGTAGTTTATGATCTCTAACTTTCTGTGGCTACTTCAATTACTGAACATTATAGGGCACAATGAGTTATGTAACAAGGGTGACAGCAATATGAAAGCAACAGCACACAAAACAACAGGCTAAAGCAGGAGAAACATAATCTGAGGGAGCCTGGCAAATTCAATAGCATGAAAATGAACAATGCCTATTTATTACTTAAACCCATACATCAAGAAAACAGTTATTTAATCAATTACTATGAAGAGTTGGCAAGGAGATATTATTTAAAAACATAATTATGATCTGGAAGTCCTTAGATATGGTGCCAGCAAGTTAGCTAAATGCTGAGTCTACTGCAATAAACGCACTACCCCAAATTATTTCCCTTAACAGACAGCAATTATGCCTCCCTGTACGCATAATAAGATATCAATTTTAAACTGCTTTGAAAAGGTGCCAGTGCAGCCTCTTTTTCGTCGTAGGTATTTCAAGTCTAGGCTTATGGAGGCTGGTTAAAGCCACAGAAACAGCACACCTCTGTAGCAAACCCTTCATGGAAAGATCAACTGCACAGGCTGTGTTGAAAAAAAAAGGCAATTAAACAGGAAACAATAAAAATAACTGGAAAACAATGTACTCTGTATGTTTTCTTTTAAATGGACCACAACTCTTTTAGTGCCTTCAAAGGATGAAATAGGAATCACAGTGAAACCATCATTAGTACTTCACTACACTTACCTTTTCCTGCCAGTGCAATATGCCAATTATAGCAAGGATGAAAACACAGACACCAATTAGGGCAATGGCTGTTAGCAACACAATGTTACTGGGGGTCAGATAAAGTTTGGCACTCCATCTGAGAACAAAAATGAGAGAGAAAATAATTACTTTTTATAAGTGACAACAATAGCTTAAAAAAAACAGAGTGAGTATCTATTCAATCTTAAATCTTTCACTTTTTGTTATTCCACTGTCATAATGAATAAGAATTAAAATGATCAAAATACTGAAGATTGACAAATATATCCAATTCAAGTCATGGACAAAGGTTCGGTTTGTTAATTGTGGTGCATTCTTACCTCACGTCTACCATTAATTGCTAAATATAAGAGAAAAACACTCAGGAGATTCCATTCCACTGCTAATGCAACAATTAATTAAAGGAAATGTACTTACTCCTGGGTTACTGGCAAATCACTCTTCCTTTGAAATAAAAGTACTGTTCAAGTATTTTAAAAATGTGAAAAACAGTTTCAGAATCCTATGTCCTGAGTTAATGGAGATATACTCTCTGATATTTCTATTACCGTTATGTCAGCAATAGGCCTAGATGTCATTATACGAAACAAACATCTTCAATATAAAATAAATTACACTAAAGTAAAATTGGCTTTCAGTGAAATAAACAACTGATCTCTGCTTTATTTTGTTACAGGTTTACCTAGATTTATGAATGTGATGTTCATTAAATTTGGCATAAACACAATTGACACAAATTCCGGAAACTTAGAAACTTTCTATGTTAATGAACTTTCACATGACCCACCAAAAGATCTGGTATCCGTAAAAAGTAAAAAAACAGAACCACCCAAGTATTCGTACAGATTCATGATGTTTATTGAACATTTATTATGCTGCTTAATCCTGTAAGTTTATGGGAATTAAAAAATGCATAGTTAACTATAATTTAAAAAAATATAATGTAAACAGTGACCATATACGAGAGCCAAAGAGTCTACATAAAGCTATTATATTAAATATGAAGATGGCTATCCAATACTGGGAATCTGAAAGGTAAACATTTAGCCCATATTTTGTGTTTTCTTCTTTAATAATTGATGATAATAACAAGAATGTTGAATAATGCAGACAAAATACTATAAAACAAAGCACTGAACGTTCTCTCCCAGAAAAACTGACTAAACTATCTGTTTTAAATTATTGTCCGTTCACTATTTGATGTATATTCTTCATATTTATTTTTGCATTGTGAAAGACGTATCAGTGTATTTGTTAGCTTAGGAATAGAGCTGAAACAACAGTCCAAAATATATTGCTAATTTTAAGATTTTTAAATTAATGTGAAAAGCAATTCTGATTTAAGAAATTTCATTTATTTTTTGAAGATGAATGATTGCATTACTTTTTTTAAAGCAAGAGTTATCTGTAATAATAATTTACTGCTTTTAGACCACAATTTTTTACCCGAAACAATTCCAAACAACTTGAACATCTGCCAGTAAAGTTCAGCACCCACCTGGATGATGCCCAATGGCCATTATGTGCCAGTAGCACTACTACACAGCAGATCAGGCAAAGAACTGAGAAACTCCTTGAATTAAAAAGGAACATTAGGTAGACCTTGTACCAACTGAGACCGGAATTTATTCCAATGTTAATTCCTACTCTTATGAACAATGTCATGGGATCTTAATAATGAAATTAGCAAGATTTTCAAATCTCCTCTGAAGGAAGCCACCTTACCTAAAGTCTCCTTGATCACCACTCTTGGCTATTAGTTAGGACATTCTGGTCCACACAGAGGAGTGCTACCTACTGGTCCACTAATCCCATTTAAAGCAGCAGTCTGATTTCTTTGCAAGTCTACTATCCTAGTACTAAGAAGGCCTTGTGAGATTCCCCATTTCCCAAATTCATCTGTTCTTTTTTTCTTTCAATCATTTTTGCTGTTGTAACTATTACAGTTTTGTTTGAAGTACTTTGAATCTTGTGGCATGAAAGGCACTGTGAATATGGTGGTCATTCCACTGAGACTCGTTATCTGCTTAGGAGAGATATTTAACAAGGGCAATTTATAAGTTAAAATTTATAATAGGTGTAAGTAAGCAAGCAAATGAAGTAAAAAGTGGAAATTGCCTTGCAGTAAACAAATAAGCCTTGGTTTTATCAGTTAACAAGAAGGAGTGTTTGGTTACGAATAAATAATATAAAAATGTTCAAAGCGCAGAAGTACAAGATATTCTGTTTGTGTGCACCTCAGATATGCTATGGAGTTGAGCCACTAAGTTACATCAAGTTCTTTTTTAGAATCTTAAGTGACATCTGCGAGCCAGGGGAATACTTCCAAGAGATGAGCACCTGACCTCAAAAAACCGCAGAAAACCTTTAGACTTAGTCAAAGCTCCACAGAGTATGGATTTAAAACTCTGGGGCAATCCAGCTTTCATAGAGAGTGGGGCAGCATGGTGGTTTTGCTGTCTTGCAGAAAGTCTTAATATGCTCTGGCTTTAGGCATTCTGCTCTGTGTAGAGTTTCCTTACACCTCTCTAAGGGATTGGATCTGGTATTAGCCACGAATACACTTTCATTGTTCATTCTGAGTCAAATTCACCTTGTCGCTTGTCAGAAATGTTAAAATCTGTACATGCCAACATTAAATAAACGTTTATTTAGTACGTAACTAGCAAAAATGCAGATCCTAACCGTAATAGTTTCTTCCAAAGTTATATTGCATATTTATGTAATTACAGCAAGAAGAGTTTATACATGGGTGGCATGAAAGACTGGATCGCAAAGTCAAACTTTCTGTATTACAATATTCTGCAGTCATCCTCTATATTTTGGTGGACCATAATCAGCCATTGTAATTACTGACACAAGAGAATACCGAAATGAATGCAATTTCAAAACACATTTAAACAATACACTGTGAATACATTGATGACAGCCCAATGTTTTATTATAGTAACTGTCAAGATTTAACTATGAGATAAATTACATACAAAAATGTCATAAAATAGTATATTGTGAATACATTCATCACAGGCTATAAATAGCTATAACAATAATGAGCTCTGGAGTATTCTTTTATTTTAAAGTAAGAATCTCTGAAGTAATGCCATATTGTACATCCTGTATACATGCATACTTGTATTTCCTAGGTGGCTGAGTGGGGGAGTAAACCTGCTCATAGCTAAATAATTTAAGATAGCTATTCTATCTCTAAATGCTTCCTTGCTGATGGTGAGGAAAGTCACTCCACATCTATTCTTATGAGATAGATGACTAAGAGAGAATACTTCAGGAGATAAAAATCAGTGAATTATGGACAATTTCACCATTTTTACATTCTGCAAAAAACTGCCTATAAAAGCCACCAGAGTGACATGATTTATTGTTGTTTAAGCACCTATATAGCAACTCCATAAATCAAGTGCATGCAGCTTGCATACATTAAGACTGAAAGGCACTGGCTTCCATTCTGTTAGGTAGGAACGAAAAGACACATGATATTCATGTCTATGAATATCATGGGTCACAGCAACCTGGAATCCTTCCTAAAAACACAGGATATAAAGTGGGGTTTTAACTCTGGATGGGACACCAGTCCACCACTGAGCACACATACACAGAAACACAGGGACTATTTCCCTGGAAGGTAGGAGGAAAGATTGGCAGCAATGTAATGTGTACAAGTTAATTTTTATTTAATTGTGACTACCTGCGAGGGTTGTTGTGGGGATATGGAATAACAATCAGCTGGGAGTTTGGAATAATTGCAGTCCACTCTTGTTTGCGAATCTCCTGGAGGGAGAGAAAAAATAAAGTTCTCATTAAGATTCCACAGCAAATTCAGAAAGAGAACAAGCTCAACAACAGAAGCTTTGGATTTCTTTCTTTTTTCCTAAGTGTCAGGATGGGAGCTCACTGACTGTTTAATCAATACCAATTCCAAAACCTATACTTGTGGAAATAGCTTTGCATGTCATAAAACTAGCAAGTTGCTTTGAATTTTTGCAAGTGCCTTCCATTTTTTTCCCCTGTCATCTTTAGTTTTCCAGAGTACCCAAGTAGAAAACAGTTTGGTTTCTGTTCTAACAAAACATTCATCATTTAACAACATAAACTACCAGTGATCTTCAAGTAATGTAATTTGCTATCTTTCACTTGTCAACTTTTCAGTAACACTCCAGAGTCTGGAAAACCACCTAAAGCTTTAAAATAAAAAAAAATACGTGTCGAAGAATTACAAATAAAATAAAGTTACGGCACGCAGTACATTACAAAACAACAGAAATCCCCACTTATGTTACAACTGTGGCTTGGCTGAAATGTGCACTTGCGTTAATGCTATCAGCTGAACAGTTAAAGGTTACAGGTTACAGAAGTGGAAGCCCTACTCTTATGTATTTAACCTTTAGTTCCTCTTAAAAAATTATTGCTGCAGAATGTGCATGTCGACAACAAGAAGGATGAGGAGACCATTTTATTGGCAGTAACTCAGATTGGAGTTCATTTATGTAAAATTTTATTTTAATGTGAAACATTAGAAGAAATAAACCCTATAGCGATATGTTTTAATTTAAGTCCCCAAAAATCAGATTTCTCATATCAGAAGTCTAATTATTGATATAAGATATTAAGATTTAAGATAAGATATTTAAAATATAAGATTTTTTATATCCATTTACCAAATACCAAAAATCCATTTTTGATATTGCTATTTTTTGTTGTATCTTTGATATATGGAAAGAACACTAATTAGATACAATGTATACTAAATTGATGAAGACACCAGAGAGTAGTCTCTATTTCCTGCACAATGCATGTTACGTTAGTAAAACATGAATAAACAGTTTCTACATAATGCTGCTAGGAAATAAATTGGAAAAAACAAATGTCATGATTACATACTATATGTTGAGAAAAAGTTTAAGGTTTTTATAGCCAAAGATGTCAAGAGAATGAAAGCGCATCTTAGAGCAACCAGTACACAAAACCATAGTTCATAGTTCTAGGATTAGAATCCAAAAACAGGTGTATAAATGGGGCATTACTCGCCAATAGCTCCCTATAATTATATACTTATGATTAAATTCCTTGATATTCATAGAAGCAGTAATACTACTGATTATCCAGTGTAACAATATGAAAATATTTTTGTGCTTAATATTATTTTCTACATTGACTCTGCAAATAATCTGTCCTAGTATTGATTTTACTGCCCATTATGCCCGCCTTACATAATTTGCAATTTATCTTAATGATAAGGATTATGTGCCTTGTACATACTGCTATGTTTAATAATAATATAATGTATTAGAAGAGTTTATTTAATCACACAATGGTATTATCAGTGGCATCATAGCCCTAGTTCATAACACAACTGTACACTCTCTCTAGTCTAAAGGGTACCCTTATTAATTAACACTTGTCACTGTCTCATTTGTCCTGATGAAGGCTTGTGATTTTCTTTTTTCACTTTCTTCTAACGTATTAAACACAAAACACAATGCAAATCAATTCCAACAGTATATATTTAAATAACATACCTATTTTGGTGCATGGAATATATTTCAGATACAGCAGCTTTCATTTTCTGACACATAATCCCCCCTTTATTGGATACGAAATATGGAAAAATTAAGTGGTGTTCAATTCCCTACTGACACGGCTTTAATGGCAAAAAAATGGAATTCCTTGCTATCATTAAAAAGAGAAAAAAACATTCAATGTTTTTTAAAGTATGAAGTGAGGACCAGAAGTCATAACTTAAATGTTATGCTTTTTAATATAATAATAAACATGCTGTTATCAAAAACATGAATTGCTTATACCTGAAATTCAACTGTTGATATTAGAAACTCATTTACTGATATTAACAAATGAATTGCATATTTCAGACATTCTTTTTTATATTTTCTTGTGGATACTAGTTGTGCATACTTGTCTTTTTGATATCAGTTACTATGGCTTAAAAATTAATACATTTTGTCATAAAACACCATCATGACATCAGGTTAAGGGCAAGTGTAATAAAAGAAGAGAGGTGAAATATAAGTGACAATCATTCATAAATTCGAGAAATAGATTCTCTATCCTGCTCCTGGGATACTGCTTGTTTTTGTTACACCTGAGCACTCAAATAAACATAATGAGTGCCTTAGTAGATATAATAATAGGTTTAATGTTAAATCTCTAATAGTTCTCTTGAACATGTATGAGATATTCTTGAACATGTACGAGATTTCCCTTTAACTAACATACTTTCAGAGGTACTAATCAAGCACCTTGTTGGTTCATTTAAGGAATCTATCACATAAAGAGCTCAGCTACTATAAAAAAACAGTAGGTGTGTGGGTCCCCAAGACTAGGATTGGGAATCCTTGCTCGAAAATATGGTGCTTTTGACCTTGCATTGCAAGGTCATTGTATCACGGTTTTCTGACCTTTATTCTTTGCTTTAAGTGTACAGCAAACATGTTCCACAGTAACGTGTGCAACCCGACTCACTGTTTTGTCATTGATTTGAAACCTCTTGCTATTTATATAGCCCTGCCCAGTTAAACTGCTGTTTTACAGCAGTGGCATCATTCTGAGTTTGTAATGGCCAGCATATTTATGACATGGTTTCTTCTTTGCTATAAGGTTGGACAGCCATGATTACAGACTACACTTTATTAGTTACGTTGAAGAATCTCGTTATCCAGGACAGCTTTCTGTTTTCATTGAGGCTACCTTTTTAGCAAGAAGCTCCCTGGAGGCACAAACACACACAGTCAAGCCACACATCAAGCATTCATGCGGTGTGCTTTGAATATTTAATCCTATGAATATTACAAAGCTTAAATCAAGGCACAAACCTGATTTTAAAAAAACATTTAAATAAAAGATCTTTTTCACATGAATAACTCAGGTAAAATAGTATGAAAGCATGAAAATATTGCTACATTTTTACCAATGTTTACATAAAACAAGTAAACAAAAATATCTGTTTTTAACTGTTTAATCATGACTAATATGCATTAATGTGCTATTCTAAGATTTCCTCCTCTGATTATGATGCAAAAACATGTAATTTAAATGTCTCTAGAAACAGTTTAATGAAAACAGGAGGAAAAAAACTCTTGGCATTTCTAATCCATTTTAGTAAAGCCTCTCAGTGCCAGAAGAAAATGGTTCTTAAATTTAAATTAGTCACTGGAGGGAGTTCTCGAGAAATTAGGATATTTTAAACTTTGTGATAATCTGGGTTTCAAAGGTAATGCTGTTTGAAAGGTGGTATATGTGGGAATGAGGAATTACATGAAAAAATGCACTTGATATAAACAAACTGTGGAATACTCTACATATTGCAGACAAACCACTGGAATTAGCTGCCATTACCTTCTCTCCCAATGGACGGGGGATCCCAACATAGAGATGATCCAGGAAGTTGGCACTGCGGCCTAGTCCCAGCACTGTGTAGGGAAGCTGTAAAGCGAGATGGGCCGACTGACTGAGCTGTCCAGCTGGAAGTCAAACAAAACCACCATTGAAGCCCATTTGCCACATAAAAGCTGTACATAATACCCACACAAAACTGCAATCATATTTTTCAGTGCTGAATTTTGAACAGTTCTGTGGTGTGTTGGAACGTCCAATGAACATTACATTAATTGCTTTCTGAGAAACAGGCACTTTGAATTTTGTATATTTTGATTTCTGTACTAGTTGTTTAAATTGGCAATTAAATGTTATTATTAACATCATAAAAGTACATCAAGTATATATATCTATTCAACTTCTTTATGCAAAAATGCCTTCTGTTAACCGAACAGCGAGTTCTTAGTTTGTTTTCATTATTTTGATGTGATTTTGAATTTAGGCTATAAAGATTTTCAAAACATTTCAGATGGAAAAATACTACAGAAAATTAAATTATTATCTTTCCAGCACACGCCATTTGTTTTTTGGGGGATAAAGTTGTTTACCTAAGATAGATTACCTGTGGCTTGAATATAAAAAAAAAACATACTAGAAAGAAATTATTCAGAGGCACTTAAAGAAGTTGGAAGACCACATTGCTTTTTAACTGAAGATGCAGGGGGAAGCTATGGCAATCCATAATACCAGCAACCTTATTTCAGACAGAGACACTCTACAGCTCATAGCCCAAAAACCTTTCCAGAGCAGAAAAACAGAAAGCCACTTCAGAAAGAAATGGAAAAATAACCTGTGTATAATATGACTTGAAACGAGATTGTACTGGCAGAAAGCGAGTTCTTTGTAGACTGGCATCTGTGATCAGCTTGCTTTTTTTTTTAAGTCTGTGTGCCAGACAACATGCTGGTGAGCAAGGTTTTATTTTGTTTCTCTATTAATATTTTTACTTTGGAACCCTCTGTCAGAGAAAGAGAAGAAAGAAACAGCTTTCATGTATTTAAAAATAGTGTGCCTAAAGGCTTGTCTAAGACGTTTCTTAAGATATATGTTTATGTGTAAGCAATTACATATTTATTGTTCCCTACCAAGACAACAACTCTTATGAGGCTGTGCTTAAAAATCTGCTTATAGCAACTCAGGTACAATACAGATAAAAAGCATTGTTGTTTTCATGAAATACGTATGGCATTTAAATCATGCCATTAAAGGCAATGTTATACTTAAATGTCTTGAAGTTGGCAGGCTGAGTCATGTAGAGAAATTACAAAAAATTGATCAGTGACAAATCTTTGACAGTCTTAACAACCAGTGTAAGGTAATTGTAATAGAAATAGATCCAAGGTTTGCTACTGGTTATCTAAAATAGACTATCTTGTACACGAGTTCCAAGCTACATTGTGCAAAAGCCACTCCAACTCAATCAATCATAAAAATCATTAATTTTTGTACTAAAGGCTTACGTTTAATTTACTCTCTCTCCAAAGATCAATCAATGATATAGGAGTGCAGTACTCTAAAATCAGTACATTCTTTAATGCATTGAAACTGAATAACTTATTCTTTTTAGTTTTTTTACAGAATTGATTTAAGCTGATGTCAAAACATAATAACCACCTGCTGTATTGATTTACTTTGATTGCCTGGCTTATCTTTTCCATTATGTATCCTACAAATCCCCTCCTAAGTATGTCTCTTAAGTAACACACACACATTCTATCTCTCAAACAAGACCCCGTCCCACTTTACAAACGTGCTCAAAACAGAACACAACTTGGCATCTATGTATCACTGAGTTCTTACTTCTGCTGAGAGATGAAAATTACTAACATAGCCTTAATGATGCGATTTTATCACTCAAGTCTCAGAAATGTAACCATTCCTTACATGTAACTTGACATGTATGGAGCTGGTAAAGAACTGAAAACACCAATTGTTTCCATAACCAAAATAATAACAGTCAGAACTATGGCTGCAAAGAACTCTTTTTGGATTTCAGATATGCAATCAACACTTTCAAATCAGAATATAATTCATAATATTTTCATAATATATTCATAATGATTTATAATGCTGTAGTATCATATTATTGAGACGTAACTAGAAACAGGAACATTTATAAATGCCTGTATAAGGCCTGCTGTTGCCAACAGAAAGCCTGTGTAGCTGAGAGCATTGTGCCTGAGCATTTTAATTTGAACAGATAACTTATAGATGGCTAACATCAGGCACAAAGGCTTTTAAACAGGAGTCACATACAGCTGAGATTGCATGCAGTTTTTATCCATCTATTCATTAATTTTCAAAACTTTTTATCCAATACAGGGCTGTAGGGGAACCGGAGCCTATCCCAGCAAGCAAAGGTGGAATGTGCCCTGGCCAAGACTCCAGCTAATCTCAGGGCACAGACAGACATAATAACGTACACACTCATGCCAGGGCCAGCTTTTTCAGAAACTAATTAACCTACCAGTATGTCTTAGGACTTTGGAAAGAAAGTGTAAGACCCAGTGAAAAACCATGTGAACATGGAGAGAATATACAAACTTCATGCAGACAGTACCCTTACTGCATGTCTGAAATTGAACCCAGGTCCCTAGTCCTGCGAGGCAGCAATGCATCTGGTTATGAATGGTTAGGAGTTTCACAAATAATAAAACCCAATGTAAACCTTTTTTATTTTGCTATTATTGTGTCCTATGCTTCTCACCACACTTTGCTCTATTAAGGACATATAACATAAGACATTGACATAGGACACTGAAAAGTCTGAAAACAAAAAGTGAAAGAATAACTGGCATACTCCACCTGTGCGTGTGTGCATCTTAGTTTATATTATTGTAAGCATGCAATTTTGTGTGTGGGACTAATTCCCTACTGCCACACAGTTAGACAGCCTAATTGGATAAAAAGAAAACATTAAAGAAATCTAAGCCTGGCACCACTGATAATTGATTTATAATGTATTAGTAGAGGGCGGATCTTTTTACTCACAAAATCCTCCTAACAGACGCAGCATTATTCCCTTATGAATGCTCAACTCCGCAGCTTCAGTAACACACAAAATATGCAATGGATAAGAACTCTGCTGCCCAAGAAAAAAAACAAAACTTAAAAGGTCAGGGAAATGCTTATCTGACTAAGACAGACAAGATTTCTCTTAATGATGTAATTTAAAAACTAAAACTATTAACCCTAAGTAAGATGTGTTTGAATGAAGAACTTTAATTTGATTATTAAGAATATTTCTTAGGGAGAATCAGAGTTGCTTGCTAACAACTTCCCTCTGAAATATTTTAAATTTCTAAATGCACTCATATGATTTACTACTACCACTAACACCTCTTCCAGCAGCAACCTTAGCTTTCCCAGGAGGTCTCTCATCTAGTTACTGGCCAGGCTCTCAGCTGCTGAGCTTTTCTTTTAATTGACCCATCAAATTTTTAATCTTAATTTAACATCTAATCTTAACTCATAAGATCAAAAGCATCCATATTATACAAAATAATATGGATTTTATTTCTTCTTTTTTATCAAAGTAAAAATATAAGGTAGAAAACCATACATAAAACATGAAAAAATTTAAACACAAAAACAAGAAAATGAAAGAACAGCAATGACATAACCTTAAGATAAAGAGACAATTAAATGTGTAAGAAAAACAAAAACTGTTACAAAAAACACAAATAAACACACTGGTCTACCTTTACACCTCATGAGATTTATTATGTCCTGAAGACATTAGGACAGCCAAATTTCCCTGTGCCAGATGTTTATATTTTGTTTTCATTTGAAACAATACAAACTCATTCAAGTGCTAAATTAATTGCATCATTCATGTGGCCCATTTCCAGTGGAAAATGGTACTCCACAGCATGGTACTGAGCTCCCCTGATTTGGCGTTAAATGTTTTCTGAACATTTAGAAACAGTAACATAGCCAATACTCAGTAATAGTGTTCTTTTTCCATGTCCTTGCTTGAACCAACATTAAAATGCCCTTTCAGGCAGGTAAAACAATGTGATCTTCCTGAAGGAATACAGTAGCAGGCTCCAGGTTTCTCTGAAAATGCACACCCTCCTGTTTAATATAACGTATGAAACAAAAACAGACCTCTTTTCCATTATGTACCTTCACATTATAGCAAAACTTTCTTCTCAGCGCTGTAAAAAATTACCTACAATTATGATTTCATTTTTTCCCATAGTAACCAGATAATGTCAGATTCTTGGCACACAGCTTGATGATGCTCCACAGAGGTTGGCACATACATCGCAATAAGCCATAAATTATTTACAAAGAGAAGTGTGTTGCCCTTTCTAAATGGAACTTCTGATTACACAGTCATTATATAACCCCAATCTGATATATAATGCAGTGTGTTGCACAGCTCATTATCACATATTCACAGTGAGAATAGTTATTTGCCAGGCTGCAGCAGCAATGGTATCTTCAAAATGAAGATGTTCCAAGTCCAACGTAGCATGGTTTGATTAAACAGCTCATAGCCCAAATGTTGTAAATGTGGGTACCGACATTACAGGGCTCTTTTCCAGTGTGTCTTCAGCAAACATTTAAACACACAGGTCTTAAAAGATGAATAAGCTTTCAAAACTATCTAAATGACAAAGACCTTGACACCACCATTTATTTAGTGATCCAAATTTTCTCTAAAACACAAACAGTCCTCTAATTACAACACACACATTCCAAGTGAGGAACATGATCCAGTGGTAGTCACACTTCAAAACTTAGAGGTAACCAAAAACGAGTACAGTAAAACCTAGGTCAACCGTCGTTGGATTATCTGATAAACTAAAAGATGGTGAACGTGGGTTGGATATGTGCAACAACACATGGTGAATGAGCAGTGAAGAGATTTTTCCAATGAACAGATGTAACTACAAATTTCATTGATCAAACCCCTGATCCTGTCTTTTCAGAATGTTAAGGATAATTCAGGACTTTCGTGGCATGACTTTGTTATGTATTTCCCCCTCAACTATCTGACATGGCAGCTGATCAAGCCCATCCTTGCCCTCTCAACTAAGACAGGTTTTACAGTGTTATATAAAGAAATGCTTACATT